GAGGTGTGAACTCTGGGGTCAAGGAGATGATTAGATCTTACGATACAGATGCCCATAACATCGATACTGTAGGTGGGAGGGGCAGATATGGCGGGAGCAGGGGGCCACATCATCCTACGGGAGTGCGTCCTCGCTATTTACAAGCAGTGGCATGCTCCGACCCTCAAAGCTCTTCTCGTTCCCCAGGTTGTACGGAACCTCGGGCCCCAGGCCTTCGGCTGATGCTGTGGAATGCCAGGTCCATGGTAAATAAAGCCCCCCTCATTTGTGATCTTATTCAGGAGGGGGGTGCGGACCTGGCGGGTATTACGGAGACCTGGTTGGGCCAGGAAGGGGGAGCCCCCCTTGTTGATATGTGCCCACCAGGTTTCCGTGCTTTCCATCAGCCAAGGTCTCAGGGGAGGGGCGGAGGGGTGGCGGTTGTTATTAACGAAGGTCTTGGATCAAGGGAGGCCACTGTTCCTCAGATGGCTGGATGTGAGTCCCTTCTTGTGAAGTGGGGTCATAGGGTGCAGTTGGGCTTGCTAGTCACGTACCTGGCTCCCTGCCATGTGGCAGCAGCCCGGCCTGAGCTGCTTGATGTTATAGCCGCGGTGGCTGTTGACACCCCCAGGCTTATGGTCATGGGGGATTTTAACCTGTCATCAGTTGGCGAGACATCTGAGGTGGCTCGGGAGTTCATGGCTTCCATGACGGCTATGGACCTGACCCAGTTAATTTATGGCTCTACTCACATGGGGGGACACACACTGGACCTTGTTTTTGTCTCTGGACAGTGGTTGAGTGATCTCGAGATAGGGGATATAGTGATTGAACCCTTGTCATGGTCAGATCACTCCCTCCTTCACCTGGACCTTCGAACCGCCACACCCCACCGCAGGGAGGCGGAACCGACCAGGTGGTTCCGCCCCAGGCGCCTGATGGATCCTGAGAGATTCCAGATGGAGCTTGGGCCATTTCCTGAGGTTCTAGCACATGACTCGGCTGAGGACTTAGTGGCCGCCTGGGATAGGGCGGCGACTGATGCTTTAGACCGAGTCGTGCCTTTGCGGCCTCTGACCCGGCGCCGGTCTCACCTGGCTCCTTGGTATACTGAGGAGCTGAGGGAGATGAAGCGCCAGAAAAGACGCCTAGAGAGCAGTTGGAGGGCTAGTCGTTCTGAATCCGACCGAACACTGGTAAGATCTCATATTAAGAATTACCTAGTGGCGATAAGAGTAGAGAAGAGTAACTACTTTTCTACTCTTATTGCGTCATCAGATAATCGCCCAGCCGCCCTGTTTAGGGTGACCCGCTCTCTGCTCCATCAAGAGACGCGGGAAGACCCCTTGGAGGGTAGAGCTGAGGATTTTGTACAATATCTGTATGACAAAATTGCTCAGATTCGTGAACAGCTAGACTCTGACTGGATTGATCCAGAGGAGATGACAGGGGCAGGTCCTGAGAATATTATTTGGGAAGAGTTTGATCCTGTGACTCCCGAAAGCGTGGACAGGATACTGAACAGACTAAATGCAACCACATGTTTATTGGACCCGTGTCCATCCTGGTTGGTACTGGCCTCCTGGGAGGTGACGCGAGGCTGGCTCCAGGAGATTATAAATGCTTCTTTGAGTGAGGGTGTCTTTCCCACCATCTTGAAAGAGGCGGTGGTGAGGCCCCTCCTCAAGAAGCCCTCCCTGGATCCAGCTGTTTTAGCAAATTATCGTCCTGTCTCCAACCTTCGCTTTGTTGCAAAGGTTGTTGAGAGTGTGGTTGCACGACAACTGCCTCAGTACCTGGATGAATCGAATTATCTAGATCCGTTCCAGTCGGGATTCAGGCCCGGGTACAGCACAGAGACAGCATTGGTCGCATTGGTTGATGATCTCTGGAGGGCTCGGGACAGGGGTTGCTCCTCTGTCCTGGTCCTACTAGACCTCTCAGCGGCTTTTGATACCATCGATCATGATATCATGCTGCACCGGTTGGAAGGGTTGGGGTGGGGGGCACTGTTCTACAGTGGTTCTCCTCCTTTCTCTCTGACTGGTCGCAGTCTGTGTTGACAGGGGGGCAGAGGTCGACCCCGAGGCCCCTTATATGTGGGGTGCCACAAGGATCGGTCCTCTCGCCCCTTCTATTCAACATTTATGTGAAGCCGCTGGGTGAGATCATCCGTGGTTTTGGGGTGAAGTACCATCAGTACGCTGATGACACCCAGCTGTACATCTCCACCCCAGACCACCCCAATGATGCCCTCGAGGTGATGTCCCGGTGCCTGGAGGCCGTATGGATCTGGATGGGGAGGAACAAACTCAGACTCAACCCATCCAAGACCGAGTGGCTGTGGTTTCCGTCGTCCCGATATAGTCAGTTGGCGCCAACTCTGACTATTGGGGGCAAGTCGTTGGCCCCCACAAATGGGGTTCGCAACTTGGGCATCCTCCTGGACTCACGGCTGTCTTTTGAAGAGCATATGACGGCCATAGCCAGGAGGACTTTTTATCAGGTTCGCCTGATTTGCCAGTTGCATCCCTTTCTGGATCGGGACTCGTTACGCATGGTCACTCACGCCCTTGTCACCTCACGCCTGGATTATTGTAATGCTCTCTACATGGGGCTCCCCTTGAGAAGCACCCGAAGGCTCCAACTGGTCCAGAATGCGGCCGCGCGGGTGGTAATGGGAGCAATGTGGCGCTCTCATGTAACCCCCCTCCTGCGCGAGCTGCACTGGCTCCCAGTGGTCTTCCGGGTGCGCTTCAAGGTTTTGGTTACTATCTTTAGAGCGCTCCATGGCTCAGGACCAGGGTACTTACGAGACCGCCTCCTGCCACCAATAGCCTCTCACCGACCAGTTTGCTCCCATAGAGAGGGACTCCTCAGGGTGCTGTCGGCCAAACAATGTCGACTGACGGCCCCCAGGGGGAGAGCCTTTTCTGTGCGGGCACCCACCATCTGGAACGGGCTTCCCCCGGAGTTACGAAACATCCAAGACTTACGCATATTCCGCCGTGCCCTGAAAACATTTCTATTCCAACAAGCTGGTCTGGCCTAACTCTCCCTTTTTAATTGGCTTTTAAACTGGCTTTTAAATTGGGTTTTAAACCTCTTTAGATAAATTTGGATGTTTTTAATCTTTGAGCCTAAATTACTTAATCTGTTTCTTAATAGTTTTTAACTTCTATATGTATTTGTATTTATTATGGCTGTTCACCGCCCTGAGTCCTTCGGGAGTAGGGCGGTATACAAATATGAAAATAAATAAATAAATAAATAAATAAATAAATAAATAAATAAATAAATAAATAAAACCCGATGAGGTAGTCCTGCAACACCCCGGCAAGGTAGACCTACAACACCCCATCGAGATAGATCAGCAGCACCCCATCCAGGTAGGACTGCAACACCCCATCGAGGTAAGCCGACAACAATCCAGCCCAACGAGCCAGAGGCGTTCCTTGGGAGTAGACCGGCAACATCCCGAAGGGGGTGAACCACAACACCCCAGTGAGACTGGCCGGCGAGCCCCCAGCGAGGAAGACCATCATCGCACCAAGGCAGTAGACCGAGAAGAGGGAGTCCCGCAACACTACGGTGAGATTGGCCTGCGCCACCCCGGCGAGGTAGACCTCCACTACCGCCTGGCAGTAGACCGGGAACACCCGGAAGAGGGAGTCCTGCAATGCTCCGGCGAGGTCAGCCTGCACCACCCTGGTGAGGGAGACCTCCACCACTCCGTTGAGGCAGGCCCACGACACCCCGGCAAGGGCAGTCACCATCACCCCAGCAAGGTAGGCCGACACCACCCCGGCAAGGAGGGCCTCCACCACCCAGGCGAGAGAAGCCTGCACCACCCCGGCGAGGTCGGCTAACACTAATCACAACAACAACAACGACCGCAAACAACCGAGACCCAAGGTCACCAAGAAGACTCACGACTACGGCAATGGGAACTGGGAACCCAACCGGACCCCACCACCTCGAAGGCCGGAAAGCTGAAAAGGAACACCAGAAACTTACCAGGATTCAGCAGTTCCCCACCGATCAGCACCGATAGGCCGCAACGAGACAACCGACATCCAGGTCAGGAAGAAGACCAGCATCACCAGCAGACAGAGGTCCAAGACACGGCTGGAGGTGCGGGGGCGAACCCCGCACACTCAACGGCTGAGGCCAGTGCGGTTCCAGGGAGGGAGCCAGGAGACACAGGAGCTCTGCCTATCCTGGTCGGCGGTGAAGCTCAACTGAGATTGTGCAGGTCAACCAGGACTACCAGACGTCCAGCGTACCTGCGCGACTACGTGACTCTAATTAACATTGATGGACAGTTTACTAACTAGGAGGGGAGGGGTGTTATGTCCTTATAAGGACACCCGCCGGGGATTGGCTAATCCTCCAGCGGGAAATTCAAAATGCTGTCTCTGGGCGGTGCAACTTGCTGGGAGCGCTTAAAAGGAGAGCTCCGGCAGCACAGCCGCCAGTCTTGTTCTCACTTAACAAAAGTGCTGAATGGACCATGCTGGTCGCGTCTTCTTTTTCCTGCGCCTGATCTAACAGTGTCCTTCTTTTCTTCTTTCTGTTCTTCTTTTTGCCAATTATATATTTTAGACCAATGACTCTATCAGGCTCTGTAAGAGTTTCTTTTAGAGAAAAAGGTGAAATAAAATTGCAATGAAAACAAACAAAGTAAGTAAATTAATATATAGTAGGTTCAATGCACTATGTCAATATTTTTCTCTGTATAGTTATCAATATTCCAGACTAATACAGATGACTTTTCTCAACATTTACTCTTTTATTTCCTTTCCTGTAAAGAAGTACAGCATCTCTTACTGTTTTTGGGTGACAGCTTCAATAGTCCTTTATCATTTTGTAAAAGGTAAATGATGTCCCCAAATCTGGACTCCACTAAATTATGTAGTCCACTGATGAAGTGTCCTATTAATCTTCTAGAATTTATACTTGTATGAGTATATTGTATTTCCTTGATAGTTGTTCTCTTTTTTTAAAATACACTTCAGGAAAATAAGAAGATGACTAATGGATATTTCCATAATGAAAATCTTAAAGCTCTTTCGGGTAACTTATTTGGTGCTGGTACAGAAACAACTGGAAGCACTCTGCGCTGGGCCATACTCCTGATGATGAAGTACCCAGAAATCCAGAGTAAGCATGTTTCATTTTATTGGTTTCCAATCAAAAATATAATAGTAATTAAAAGAAGACTTTTGGTAGATGAGAGTGTCATTTGAACAAGGGAAAAATAGGAAGTAAGAATAAATTGTCCTTTCTGTTGATATTTTAAGGAACTCATCAATGTGAGAATATGAAGAAAAGGGTATAAGATATTGAGAGTTCACACATGTATGATTCATTTTATGCTGTCATCACTCACTCTACTATTTCTTAGAAGAATAGCACATCACACCCTAATATGAGCCAATATTGAAGACACTGTTCTTTTAAGAGTGATGTATTCCAATCATTATATGACCTTGACTCATCTCTATATGCTCCACCCAACATTTCATTCTTTCTAAAATTTGAAAATGTAAACTGATAGTCAATTAATAGTCCAGTCTCCTCTGGATACGAATATTCATAAACAAGGAAAAATATGGCAAAATGCTAACATAAAACATCATAGCTTTGTGTTATTAGGTATGCACTACAAATGTTTAATAATTCTATTTAATAATTCTGAATCTACCTAAGTTAAAATTATTTTTAAAAATTGTCACTAACATTTTCTCTATCTATTTTCTTCAGAGATAAATATTGTGTTTCTCTAATGTAGATATAGTCATCAGCTTACAACCGCAACCGGAACTGGAACTTCCATTGCTAAGCGAGGCAGTTATTAACTGAGTCATACCCAATTTTTTAAAAAATTTTTTTTTGCAATAGTTAAGTGAATCACTACAGTTCTTACATCAGTGTTTCTCAATCTTGGTAGCTTGAAGATGGGTGGACTTCAACTCCCAGAATCCCCCAGCCAACAGCGCTGGCTGGGGGATTCTGGGAGTTGAAGTCCACCCATCTTCAAGCTTCCAAGGTTGAGAAACACTGTCTTAGATGAACCATGTGCTCATTAAGCAAATCCAGCTTCCCACATTGACTTTGCTTGTCAGAAGCCAGCTGGGAAGTTCACAAATTGCCATCACTTGACCACAGGGAGCTGCAAGTATCCTAAATACATGCTGGTGGTCAAGTGCTTGGATTTTAATCTCTTAACCGCAGGGGTGCTATAATGGTTCCAAGTGTGAAGATTGGGCGTGCATATTTTTTTCAATGCCATTGTAACGTCAAGCAGTTGCTAAATAAATGGTTGTAAGACGAAGACTACCTGTGCAACCAAGTCCTTTATGTTTTATCCTTCACAATTTGAAATTTTTATATAAACTCCCATTTAAAACAAAATTCAAGCAATGAGTCATCCTGATACATAATCTATTCCCCCAGATAAGGTCCAAGAAGAAATTGCAAAAGAGATTGGGGTTCGTCAGCCAAGGACAGAAGACCGAACCAAATTGCCTTATACCGATGCAGTAATTCATGAAGTTCAAAGGTTTGCTGATATTGTTCCAACCAACTTGCCACATGCAACCACTATGGATGTAACTTTCAAAGGCTTCTTCATTCCCAAGGTGATCAATCTTAAATTACTGCATTGTACAGGTTCCAATCTTTTTTAGTACTGTATAAAACATTTTTACATAGTAAAATGCATTTTAGGCGTTCAATCAGAATAGAGCTGAAAGAGTTCTTGGAGGTCTTCTAGTCCAACCTCCTGCTCAAGCAAGAAAGCCTATATCATTTCAGACAAGGAACTGTCCAGTCTCTTCTTAAAAACCTCCAGTGATGAGGCACCCACAGCTTCTGAAGGCAAACTGTTCCATTGGTTAATTGTTCTCACTGTCAGGCAGTTTCTCCTTAATTCCAGGCTGCTTCTCTTAATTAGTTTTCATCCATTGTTTTTTGTCCTGCCCTCTGATGCTTTGGAAAATAAGTTGACTGCCTCCTCTTTGTGGCAACCTCTCAAATACTGTAATACTGCTATCATGTCCCCCAACTCTTTTCTCTAGGCTAGCCAAACCCAAACTGCAGCTGCTCCTCATGTTTTGTCTCCAGGCCCTTAATCATCTTATTTGCTCTTCTCTGCACTTTTTCTGAATTCTCAACATCTTTTTTGTAATGTGACCAAAACTGGATGCAGTATTTCAGGTGTGGCGTTACTAAGGCTTTATAAAGTGGTACTAATACTTCACATGATTTTGATTCTATGCCTATGTTTATACAACCAAGGATTGTATTAGCTTTTTTGGCTGCTGCTGCACACTGCTGGCTCATATTTAAGCAATTGTCCACTAGGACTCCAAATCCCTCTCACAATTATTGTTTTTGAGCCAGGTTTCACTTAATCAGTACTTGTACCTTTGGTTTTTCCTGCCTAGGTGTAAAACTTTGCTTTTCTCCACATTAAATTTCATTTTGTTGGATAGGGCCTATTGTTCAAGTCTGTCAAGATCTTTTTGGATCCTGAGCTTGTCTTCTGGAGTGTTGGCTATTCCTGTTAGCTTACAGTAGTGTCATCTACAAATTCGATGACTTCTCTTCTATTCCCTCATCTAAGTCATTTATGAAGATATTGAAGATACTGGACCTAAGATGGAATCTTGTAGTACCCCATTGCTTACTTCCCTCCATGTAGATATAGTTATTGAGTTATTGAGCACTGATAATCTATTTCCTTATTTTTCCTTACAATGTGTTTCTCCTTGCCTAGTATTTATTCAAAATTCATATATTTCCAGTGCCATTTTTAAAAATTGATCATTTCTATAACAATGTATTAAATATTCACACTTTTTAATATAGGTTTTTCACTTTTGATGTTTAGGGTATGCACATTGTTCCTTTGCTATCATCAGTGCTCCATGATGAATCTCAGTGGGAGAAACCCTATCAATTCTATCCTGAGCATTTTCTTGATTCTGAAGGAAAATTTGTGAAAAGAGATGCATTCATGCCTTTCTCTGCAGGTAATATTCTCTATATATGTGTCCATGCATAATGGGCAATGCTTTATATTTTGGAAAGAAAAGTTCACAAGATACAGTGGAACATTTGAAAAAGTGATAATAAAACCATGATGTAGTAAACTTCCATTTAACAGAGTTTAGAATAAGATTGCCTGATGCTCCCACAAACTTACAGGGCCTATGAAACTGCACTATTATGACAACCATGTTCCAAAAACAGTTAAGCTTCTGAACATAAAACAACAGTAACAGTTATTTGAGGGACTGTCTCATCCCATTGGAATTGGCCCGCCCCACCTATGCCAGCAGAGGAGCATGCTGCGGGCCCCATTGGCCAGGGTATTCCAGTTGGGAGGATCCAGGAGAGCCTTCTCCCCCATTATATCTACCCCTTGAAACATCTTCCTCCCTGGAGTGAATTTAGATCCAATCCTCCTGATCTTCTGCAAGAGCTTAAAGACCTGGCTCTGTCACTTGGCTTGAGGCTCCAATGTGAGGATTTCACATTGGAGATGGTTAATGGATTAATAATAGATTTCACCTCCTCCCCTTCTCTTCCTACTCTCTCCCTCCCCATCTTTGGAGGCTTGAGCCTTTGTATTTTATAGTATTATTTATAGGTGTTGTATATTTTTATCTTTTTAATATTGTAAACCATCCAGAGTTGCCCTGTGGTAATATGGGCAGCCAATAAATTTAATAAAAAATAAAAAGAAATAAGAAATAATCAAGTGAAGGATTTGTGCGCACGAAGAAACAAATAAGGTGATTATTAGAAGCCAGCATAGATTTGTTCAAAACAGATTATGGCACACAAACCTTATTGCCTTTTTTGATAAAGTAACTAAATTTGTTGACAGTAAAATGCTGTCAACATAACTTACTTATGATGATTTCAGCAAGGTATTTGAAAAAAGTAGCCACAACCTACTTCTTGGTGAAATAGAAAATATGGGATAGACAGTACCACCACTAGATGGATTCGAAGTTGACTAACCAGCTGGTAGTCTTCAATGGAACTACAGCTACATGGAAGGAAGCATGCAGTGGAGTACCACAAAGATTGGCCTTGGCTTCAGTACTCTTCAACATTTTCATAAATGATCTTGATGAGGAGATAGAATAGGAACACATCAAATTTGCAGATGACACTAAACTGGGAGGAATAGAAAGAACAGGGGTGCACATGATATCTGTCTTTCAGTACTTGAGGAGCTGTCACAAAGAAGAGGGGGTTGACTTATTCTCTAGGTCACTATAGGAAAGGACAAGAAGTAATGGGTGGACATTTGTTAAAGGAAGATACAACCTAGAAGTAAGGAAGAATTTTCTGACAATTAATCAATAAAATAGCTTGCCTCCTAGGTGCTCCATCACTGGAGATCTCCAGAAATAGACTGCACAACCATTTGACTGAGACAATATAAGCAGAGGGTTGGACTAGAAGACCTTCAAGGTCACTTCCAGACCTATGATTCTGTGAATGAGTCTATAAAGGATGTTATGCCAGTCATATACTATAACTCACAAAGGCACTGTTTTTGTCAGGGGTCCCCAACCTGTGGGCCATGGCCCACTAGTGGGCTATGAGGGGTTTGCAACTGGGCTGCGGAAATGGCCGGCAAGCATACACAGGTGCATCCTCACTTGTGCAAGTAGTGGGCTAGCGCATGAACGTGCACACTGCTTGTGCAAATGGAGCTGCGTGCGCACTTGCGAGCTGCTCATACAGAACCATTCCCTCTCCCCTGCACTGGTTCACAAAGCCGGAAACACTGGGGAATTTCAGTTTATGCCATCACTAGACTGTCATCACCATTCAAGGTTCTTCAATCACTATATATCTGAAGTCAATCTTTATCAAAATGAGGGGCTAAGGATACTTACGAAGAACATGAAGGCATTCTTGGAAATTGTCTAACTCATTCATTGGGGGGAAAAGTTCATGAATAATAGAACATATTAATGCATACTTTCCCCCCTAAAAACTACAAGATTCATCATTGAGTTTATGGATCAAGGCAACATGCTGACAACCAAAAGAGTTTAAAGGAAGATTTAATAGATATCCCCTCCCACCAAATGAACTTTCAATAAGGGTATTCCTCTAGTTGTAATTACAATCTCTACCTCGAGTGGGATGCTCAGTCAACCTCATTTTTAGGGCATCAGTATAGAATGGTACTTACGAAGGCTCATTCTTCTTTTAAGATTAGCATGCTTATGATACATACCTTATTTTTATTTTATTGCTGTATTTTAAATATGAGCGTTTTGTCATAACTTTGTGTCTTACTCATCTCTCCATGACAATCTGACATTGGGAAGCTACATAAAATAGTTGAAGAAACCAATAAGCATAATTTTCCCACCCATGTATGCTTTCTTCCAGGTAGGAGAATATGTGCAGGTGAGACCCTTGCCAAAATGGAGCTCTTCCTCTTCTTTACTAGCCTCCTGCAGAAATTTACCTTTCAAACACCCCCGGGAACATCTAAAAATGATCTGGATCTAACGCCTGAGATTGGATTTACAACCCCTCCTATACCGTATAAGACCTGTGCCATTCCATGTTCATAAGACACAAGACTTTCATAACAGTCATTCTCAGTCTTGGATAATGTGATTCTGTATGGTTTTGGCTTAAGAGGCTGTCTGAAATTGTACTATAATTATTTGCATACACACAAAATCTAGATTTTGAGAGTGAAAAGGGTAGAGAAATCATGCTAAGTGCTTGATACATTTATTATTTTTGTTTGTTTCCTTTTATCCTTTTTTCTCCTATTCAATTTTGTTAGTTTTGCTTTTTGTTAAATTCATTGTAAGCAATATAGTTTTTTCCACAATAATTCTACATACACACACACACACACATATTATTGTTAAGGTATTAGATAACTTAAAATCACACTTTGACACAGAATTTAGCTGAAGAAAGCAAAACAGTACCAAAAGGAAACAACAACATTTAATATTACTGAGAATTTGTTTTACAAAAAATATTTAGAGATAATTATTGCTAGATATTCCTAGAAATAGAATGGCAGATATTTCAAGTAGAAAAAGATGTAACTGTCTCAGTCGGGATGAACATCTTGACAAGGCTGAAAATTTTGTTCAAATAGATTCCTACAAAAACTGAAGAAAAAAACACTAAATTACTGGCAGAGATGAGCAACTGATTTTATATAATCTGATAAAATACCAAGGACTAAAGTTCAAAACTTTACAACCCTTGAAATATTGGACAAGCAGCCAGTTGTATTACCAGGTTAGATGTTTAACTGGGATGACATTGATTAAAACACTGAAGGTTGAATAATCTGACAGCTCATATGACGTTCAGTTAGCTTTCCTTTAAAAGGCTAGCTTGAATAGTTTATTTAGTTAATTAAAAGAAAGGGGGCATGTTTTGTGCCTTCAACAGACACATATTGGAAGCACTGATGTTGATCTGTTAAATGTAAACATCTCTATCAAAACTGTATGGCCTTAAACAGATTTTTTTAAATGGAACAGCTGTATGAACTTTTAATGAGACTTCTAGAGAAAAAATCTCAGATGAGAATGGAAGATGCATAATGTTAAGCTTTCAGACTGAATTTGGAAAATAATTGATTTTTGTGCAGAATACCAAAATAAAGTTCTGTGAAATATTGTTATAGTTTTTTACTATCTCAATTTTTCTTGAAAATGCAGAGGAAGATACAATATCTTAATCATTTTAGATATGATTAATATTCTCCCCCCCTCCCCCTTATATGATTAAAATGATTTTATCCCAAAGAAACTTTGGCAAACTCCCAAAAAAGTTTCCGCATATACTGTATGTCATGGCTATTTCTCTGGGGAATGTCCTACAGAGAGAATTCAGTTCATAAAACTTATTTAAGGCTAGATACATGTTCAATTTCTACTTTACTGTTAACCAACCTTATAGACTGTACTATCAAAAGCCTGATAGTACAGTGGACTAAAGCACTGTTATTAACATCTGCTGCTTGCAATTACTGCAAGTTCAAATCTCACCAGGCTCAAGGTTAACTCAGCCTTCCATCTTTTCAAAGGTAGGTAAAATGAGGACCCAGATTGTGGGGACAATAAACTGACTTTGTATAAATATACAAAAGTATGAAGGCTATTGTTTAATGCATTGTAAGCCGCCCTGAGTCTCCAGAGAAGAACGGCATATAAATTAAAGCACAAAAAAAAAAAAAAAAAAAATGTGGAGGTAGCAGATGCTGCTAACATGGATAAATAACCCAATATTTGTAAGACTTGTCTCCTGAAAGGATTCAGTTGGAAGAGTCACAGGCAAGGAAAGTGGTGTTGCCTAGCATCCAGGAGGGGAATTTATTGTTGGCCTCATAAGACTAAGTGGAAGACCTAATTCCCCCCACCCTTCAAGGACCAGTCAGGTAGAGAGAAGGGTTGAACAAAAGCATTCAGTAAGATTATTGGCCAGAAAGAATTCCACCCATCAAAGAAAATGCTTAATGCATTGTAAGCCACCCTGAGTCTTCGGAGAAGGGCGGCATATAAATAAAATAAAATAAAATAAAAAATAAAAAAAAATAATCAGGGTCATACTATCCCTATATAAGGGATGCTACATGCCTCACATATCCTTTGGAGACAATTCTCCCTTTACTTGCCCACTGTGCTGTGTTCTGAAAGGAAATGGCTTGGATTGGACTTGTTTTATTATTATTACTATGTATTTGTATGGTTATATTCCTTTTCAAAATGGGTAGTTCTCAGAGTAACAGCTGCCAAAATCTTCCATCTGGACCCATTTTCGATTTTGGCAAATCTGCACACAATGAATTTGAAGAGGCCCTATAAGACAATGTTAAAGGTAAACCTGATGATTAACAACTAAGAATTTTCTTTGCCAAAATATATTGACGTTGATATAAATTTTAGCAATTAATCAGGTTATCCAGTTAACTGATAAGCTCCTTGCTGGTTCTAAGGAGTCTATGATAATTTAAAAAACGACATTAACTTGGTGTTTGCATTTGTTTAAATATGCCACAACAATTATTCAAAGAGAAATCTTTGTTAGTAGGATGCAAATTTTTCTCTTTATCTCAAGCTTGAACAGATGATTGAAATTGTCTACAACTGTGTAAAGGAAGAAAATGTAAATATTATTCCATCATGTCAGGTGTGCTTCCTTCAAAATCCAGGAAAGAAAAACCCAGACTCCATGATTTATAGAGACAGGTACTTTTACTAGAAATGAAATGAACGCAACCACAGCTAAGCTGAAATTAAAGCAATAGGCGCGAAAAGTGCATATAGAAAGCATCCCCTCCCACTGTCCAAACAATTTTGCAAGGGTTTTAGCTGAAGGGATTTTAGAACAGGGGATGAAATGCACTTGTTTGGAAAACAGGTCCATTACCGCCCAAATGACGGTGCAGCCTTCACTTTTTGGTAGGTCCACAATAAAATCCATGGATATTTCTTTCCAAGGGGCATTCGGCCTTGCCACACTCTGAAGTAAACCGGGCAGTTTCCCCGGAGGTCTCTTAGCCGAGGCACACATCGGACAACTACATATGCCTCTATGTCCTTTTTGAGTGCAGGCCACCAAAATTGTCTTTTAACGAGATGTAGAGTTTTAACAAATCCAAAGTGCCCTGCCGCCTTGGCGTCATGAGCGTACTGCAACACTGTTACTCTTAAACTGGCAGGAACATACAATTTTGCCCCAATCCAAGCTAGACCATCACGGAGTGTACATTCATTTGAGTGGGTTTTAAACCATTCGTCAGTTCTCAAGGCTTCTTTCAGTTTCTGAAGAAACTCGCCCGAGAGGTCTGGATCGGCCTTCGCCTGTACTCTGGTAGTCATTGGTGCTGTTGTATTGAGGCAATCTGGAAAGTGCATCTGCCATGAAGTTTTTTCTACCAGGAAGGTATCGTAGAGTGAAATTAAAACGGTTGAAGTGCTGGGCCCAATGGGCTTGTTTTGGTGACAGCTTATGGGGTGTTTTCAACACCTCCAGGTTTTTATGGTCAGTCCAAACTTCAAAAGGGTGCTTTGCTCCTTCTAGAAACTGTCTCCACGTTAACAACGTTAACAACACCCATCGCACTGCGAAAGGCGCAAAAAGTGCATATAGAAAGCATCCCCTCCCACTGTCCATCGTAAATCATCCAATCCAAAGGTCTTCCAGGGTCAGGTGGAAGCACGTCTGACAGCGTCATCAATCAGGAATGCCACGACGGTTACCCGATAGCCACTCCAAGGAATCAGTTTCGTTTCTTCCGAAGCTACGCCCCTCCTCCAGCATGCTTCCCCCCCAAGCTCCCTAGTTCTCCCCCCTCCCGGTTCCTATAGCAGCCAAAGCAGCAAAAGCGGAGGCTGACACATCAATGTATTATTAATAGGGATTCCTAGGTTAACGTATTTTAAGAATATATATTTTTAGCATTTAAATCTTTAAGAATATTTTGAGACAATGTAACATTGGGAAGCTATAGTTTAAAATATTTTAAGAAAGCAATAAATGCATGTTTTCCATGTATGTTTTCTTCCAGGTCAGAGAGTATGTGAGGGAAGAACCTTGTTAAAATGGAGCTCTTCCTCTTCTTTACCAACCTCTTTCAGAGATTTACTTCCAGCCACCCCCAGGAACATCTAAAGATTATCTGTTTTTGGACTTATGCCCCCCACCCCATACTTTACAAAACCTGTGCTATGTTATGTTAATCCAACAGAAAAAAACCGTAACAAGGTGTTTCCTCAGCCTTTGAAATGGCTTTATTTTAACAGAGAGGCAAAATCTGACAACATAATTCCATATTATTTATTTATTTATTTATTTGTCTCCCATATTTATTAATATTATAAACAACCCAATTTGGTGAACATATCCAATACATCTTGCTACTCCTCTTTTCTCAACAGCAACAACCTTTTGAGGTGATGAGAGAGTGTGACTGGCAAAAAGTCACCCATGTAGTATTCATGGCTAAGGCGGGACTTGAACTCATGATCTCCTGCTTTCTAGCCTGGTACCTTGATCACTAAACTGAACTGGCTCTCTATATTATTTAGGTTCCATATGTTGTTTAAAACCTACTGTGTTTCCCTGAAAATTAGACCGGGTCTTATATTAATTTTTGCGCCAAAAGATGGATCAGGGCTTATTTTCTGGTTAGGTCTTATTTTTGGGGAAATACTATACTATATGCACCCATCTGATTGACAGGCTTAACTGGGGCTTATTTTGGGGGTTAGGGCTTATATAACGAGCATCCTGAAAAATCACGCTAGGACTTATTTTCTGGTTGGGTCTTATTTTCAGGGAAACAGATCTACACAAAATCTTGCCGGACTGAGCACTTTATTATCTGTATACAATATATGCTGCAAAGGGAAGGGCTGTCTTCACCCTATTTCTCACACACATAAAATCTGAATTGAGTTGCCTCTTACTCCTCTGAAAGGCACTCCTTCTCTCTTGGGAATCCACCTCCTTACTATATTTCATCACATCTATGTAAATTCAAAGAATATACAAGAATAAAAGAATATACAAGATTCAAAGGGTTTGGGTAGTAATATGGAGAAGATTGAATGATTTGAGTTGGTGAATTTAAAATGTCTTTGCATTCTATGAAAACAATTATCAATAAGTGCTTCCAATTGAGCACTACTCTATTATTTCTTAAAGATCTCTTATCAGGTCTCTGTCTAACCTTGAAAACAACTGTTGTTCCTTTAAAAGTTGCATTAACTTTAATATGGAATAACATTGCCATTTCATAAATGGACTTCAAGGTTATCTCTAAATATATCATAACATGTTCAGACGTGTATAACATCAAATACAAGGTTTGATTCCTCAAATTAGATAGCTACATTTTCCAACCATCATAGAATCCACCAAGTTCACTCAGGTTTAGCTAAAAGGCAGAAAGGGATGTGGGTAAGTCTGACAAACTGACAAGGTAAGAATCTGGCATTCATGCTTTTTAGCAGAGTTAATGATGGTAAGTTATCCTCCAGAACATTTCCTTGAGCCGGAAACCCCTTGCTGTGTAACACCTTAGCTAGATTTGTTGCAATGAGACGGTTGTACCCTTTCCTACGATGCTTAGGCAATGTATAGCCATGGATCATAGTAGCAAATTGGTCTGTCAGACCCCAGGAGATGGGGCATCCATGTTCATCCAAAACGCACATGCTGGGGAAACAGCAAATGAGGTTGATGAGGTATTTCTGGCATTGGTCACTTCCTCCTCGGGACCAGGTGTTATTCAGCAGACTTGCATGAGATGCATCAAGGGAAGTCAGTTTCGGTGCAGGAACTAACCTAAAAAAGTTCTTTGCTTAACATTTACTGTAAGCAACTTAGGATAAATCAATATACAAACACATGGGGGGATTGAATCCTTTTATGTTCACAAAGAAATACCCAAAAGTAGGACTTTTAAGATATAATTTGCTCAATAGGGCAAATGGAGAGAAAAATGTTCAGTTCTGGAGTCTTCCTTCCTCCCCACCCAAACAGATAATTACAATCTTCACAGTAAGTTTATTACACTTAAAACTTCTCCTGAGAATTTCAGAAATTATTGGAGTAATAGGGGCAGAAAGCATCAGACTGCTGGGAATGCTTGACTTAACTGAAACTTTTATATCCATCTTCATAAATTAAAATTTTACTTTAACATTTACCAAAAAGGACCATTACTATAAAAAAGCTGTAATAGTAGTTAGACATACGGAAGTTGAACATCTGGAAGTGCATCTGGGTTTGGGCAGATTACCATTTTGAAAGAAGACAACTTCACATTTACATGCTTGGCATCAGCAACAATCTTGGAAGTTTTGTATAAATCATCCTGTAAACCTATGTTCAGAAAAAAATATAATTATATTTTAAATAAAGCATTAAACAAAACACCATCTTTAAATATAACCAAAACTATTAATGATCTATAAAACTACAAATATTGCAATCTTGCTTAAAATACTTTGACTTTTTTGGAAACTGTTTCGAAGTGAATAAAAACCAAAATAATTCAATTGTAGGTGACATTATGAAACCAAATCTACAGTCAAATTGGTATCACATGCTGGATTATTCAAATAATAAATTCACTCTTATTTGCCAGAAACATCTTAGGGGCACCTAACACAGGACTGAAAGAAATCCAGCAAAATAATCATTCACAAGAACATTTGATTAATCATTTGCCACTAAGTCAGTATCAATTCTTAGAGATCAGACAGATTTTGTTCATGACAATCTGTCCCTAATCTAGTGCTTCAGGTTTTCCAACAGTGAATCCATTACCACTGTAATCAAATCCATTCATTTTGCTAGTGATTATTCTATTTTTCCTCTTTTTCCTTCATTTGGTATTGCTACGTAAACTGACTTTTTGCAATGGAGCCACCTCCATTATCCTTCTATCTAGCTGCTGCCCAATAAAAGTGCCTGTTTAGCCGGGCAGCTGCAACAATTTTTACACCTTGGGGGACCCTGCTGGGGTTAAATGCACTTGGCATACAATTATCAGTTGACCCTTGCCATATTGAAAGTGGTTTTGTGCTAAATTGATTGTCATTCTGTCAATATCTATTTCAAATAATCGCATGATTTCTGGAATGTTTGTACAGGAGATGGACTATCCAGCTAAATAAGGAAACTGCTGTGGAAAACTATCCAATTGGATTGCTTCACATCCATTTTTTTTATCATCACATGCACCTATATGCTAACAGTAACTGCCAGATTTAGAAAAGATAACTGTATGTACAAAAGGGAACGTAAGGTGATCAGATCTTAAAGAAAGTAGACTGAATTCTTTAAAATTCAGTTAGAAGCAAGAATATCTCATCAGAAATAGGCAGGACAACATCATATCTCATAGCTTGCCTAATCACTGGAAAAGGGAGAAAAAATAATATTAAAGCCTACCCACAAATATTCCACCTATTGTTGGAGGTGGAGGAGTTTCTGAGAAAACTCTTGTTTGATAAAAAAAGAAGCTGTTGGTACATGGCATTGTCCAAGGAGTATAGAAGGATGCTCGTTCTTTACATGGAATTGAAGTAGAGAAAAGAACTCTACTTCCAAGCAAGGTCAGAATGGCACTATTGACCTTTCTTTTAATTATTTGTACCCAAAGTTAAATATCAACTAAGAATAGAAGCAATAGTCACTGGAAGCAAAGATAAGAAATCTACTGTATTAATACAAAATTAAATCTATTGATAAAAATAAACACAAACCTATTGGAGTTCAGTTTTCTTTTATCACATTTACTATTGCTTAAAAGTCATAATTCACCTAGGTTTAAATATGTGTTTTGTCATCCCTCGAAGAATCTGTGACATAGGCTACTACCTATTAGTACATGTTGTTTGCAAACACCCCAAAGTCACTTAGATGAGCTGGGAGATGTAGAAATTTGATAAGTAAATAAATTCTTCTGGGAGTAGGGATATATAATTAATTTCAGAGGGATTATTATATAGAGCAGTACTCATTGCCACTTGAACATAATATTCCTTTTGTTTCCCAGCACGGTTTCTCTAAGCCTATACATCTTACTCTCTCTTTGCTTTCAGTACCACTGAATGCCAATTTAGGTGCAGTGGCAGAATTTGAGAGGGGCATGTATTTATCTCCTTGACTTATTATAGGAAGAGGCAATCAGAAGGGCCTGTTGGAAGCTAGAAAGGACAGTCATGGAGGCACACTGGAGAATTTTCTACTTCTCCTTCCTTTGGAGCTGGCCATGGAGTAGTTAATGAAGCACCAGAAGTGTTCTATCAAATCTCAGCCATTTTATCTCATTATAACTCTGGCTGAATAGAAAGAATGTCAGAAAACAGAGGAAAAGGAAGAGACATCTTTAGAGTGCTAAGTCTCTGTGATGATTGGGATGCTGAAGTTACCAGTCAAAGGATAACAACACCGGGCATTTCCTCCCAGTTTCTATTCCAGCAGTTAGAAGCAAGTAGGATTTGGGAAGAGCAAGTCTAAGGAAGAATGGCCATTCCATCCTGTGATAAGTGTCAAGATAATAGGGTTAGGAATAATTTTAAGGTGGGCTAGTATTGATGGGATATAGACAATCCATAGAAATAAGCAAATCTCTTTTAAAACTCATTCTAAATTACTTAATAGAAATCAATTTGTTCCTTTATTTCTGTGTTAACCAAGTGCCTATGCTATCCTATATCTTTCCCATGTGCCTCAGAAATTTAAAAATGTTGGAACAAGATTTTAATGGTGGCAGTGGAAGACAAGGATAATAAAGGAAAAGATCCTCCATGTCAAGGAAGCATGCCATTGGCCCTCACAAGCTTTCCTCCTGTTTAGAATCAAAATAATATAAGTTCAAAGTTATATAAGGTAATTTAGAGAAGAAAATGGGGCTGTTAAGGAGCTCCAATCCACCCACATTATTCTGCTTGCTAAACAAGATTCATATGCAAAATGATATGGCTCCTGCACCTGGAGAATCAAAAAAAGTTTCTTACTTGTTCCAGTTATCTTTCAGACTGACTTTTGGGGAATCTTAGGAGAAATATCTCATCATAAAAGATTGATGAAAAAACAGCATCCTATTAGAGTCTGGTTTAGCTGTATTATCATTGTTATTAATATTCTATTTGAAGCAGCTTTTCTCACTTGGTAAACACTGGGATAGTCTGGGATAATAGATGGTATAATTAAACATATTGGTGTGAAAATTGAATGGAGAAAGATTTTGACATCATATACAACTGATGACTCACTGTTGAAATTCTCAACTCTGTACCATTAGAAATTTTCAGTCTCTCATTTTAAAATATTTTTTAAAATTCAGGATAATCATTAGTGTGTTCTTTTTCATAGCAAAGAACTTTTACCTTGTATCTGGAAGGCTTGCTCCCAGTTTATAGTTTCTGGGTTCTCCAACAATGCCTGGTAAGCTTGCAGATTTTTGTAGAAAACAGCACAGGCATTTGTAAAGTAGTCTAGGGCATCACTTTTGGACTATGTGTGAAAAAAGCAACATCTTAATTCAATTCATAGTATTATGCACGCAGATATGCACCTAGTTTGTTGCTATAGATAAAGGTCATAAAAATGAAACGAGGAGGTCTGCTGATCAGGGCACTGACTAGCTGCAGATCAGTAGGAGAACCTACACGGAACTGCAGCTAGGATACCAGTTGGGAGTTTTCTTGGCTCAGGAAGGAAGAATAGACTACTTTCAACCTGGAAAATGGTTAAGAAAGCCACTGCAATCCTTCTCCTATGCTGCCTGGACTGCATTCACATAATACATTACACAAAACAAAACAAAACAATTGAATTGAAATAGCCACTAGCCACTGAGTTTAACCCTACTCTATGTGCAGGGACAAAATCAAAATAACTTCAACAAATGTCTGTCTAGACTGCTTGAGATCATACAGTTGAAAGGAAGTCCACCATTTTCCTTGGGAAAAGCATGCCTTTAGAAAGATGGTTAAAGGCCACAATGAGTACAATCTTCCTTTTTTAGGAATTATAATAGAGATCGCACATTCACCACTTACTGCTTATTTCATTTTAATGTTATGTTTGGCATTATTGGTTTGATCTTCTCAGAGGCTATCAAAAGTTTTCATTTCAACTTTTAGTTCTAATTATTATAACTAAATCTGAAATGTTAATTAAAATTAATTATCGCTTAGAGGAAGGATAGGTAAACCACAGTCCCTAGCTCACCAAATTTCTCACTTTCTTCTAAAATTTCCCCAATTGATTTTGCTGAGCCTCTTCCTTAAAAGCCCATTTTTCTACAGCTACATTCTAAATGAAGTGCTTGGTGCACTAAGACCCAAACGGTTGTCCACTCCTGAAACAATCAATACTTAGAAATTGGTTGGTTCCTTGAAAACATAGTTAAGATAACCAATGACAACCAGAGTTTTGACATAAAAGCAAATTAGAACAAAAATGAAAGCAAAAGTAGCCAGGACATTGAATTTTGTAACTCTACATGTGAATATAGTACACATCCACATTTTTGGAGGACACCAACTCAGGAAAATCTGTATAAATTTTAGATTAATGCCCCCAATGTTCATTGTGCATTTCAGGGTATTTAGAATAGATCCATTACAAGTACTGTTTTACCTCTTTTTGTCGGCGAGTAATCACAGCTTTAAATTCTGGCCATGAATCCACAACCACTTCCTTTTTGAATGGATTTCCTCTGTTTATATTCAACACTGCTCCATAAACCTTCAAATAATAACGGGCTTACAAAGTTTTATTAAACAAAAACACTTTTAAAAATCTGTTTCTTTAAATTCTTTTATATTCTCAAAGCTTTCACCAACTGGCACTATTTGCAACTTCAACATTTATTGACATCTTCATTCAGACTAGCAGCATTTTCAGCTTTAGACTCTATACTCTGCTGCCCCCACTGGTCCTGCTGTCCTGCAGTCCAATACCACAAAAGTTCCTGCTCCTAGCCCGTTTTGTTAGGTTTTGTTAGGTGCTGCAGGGTTCAGTACTCTCTACATGTAGATGAAGCTGCTGGGTTAGGTCATCCGCTGCCATGAGATATGGTATCACACCAGCTGCTTATCTTTATCCCTAGTGAGTTAATTGATGCTGTTGATGTGTTATTTTGATTTCTGGAAGCTGTTAAGGACTGATGGGGAACAACAGATATCATTTAAACCCTCATAAGACTGGGAGGCTTTGGGTTTTAGAGCCTTCAGCATCTGGGGATTTATCATCTTTAAATGAGTTTGCAATGCCACGAAGATACCCAGTGTACACTGGAGGTTCTTCTGGATTCATGAGTCCTGCTCAAAGAGCAGGTAGCAGTTATTGCCAAAAGGGCAATTGCAAAGTTTTGTGTTGCACTCCTGTTACACCCATTTTTGGATTGGGAAGTTCTACTCTGTTATTCAAGCCACAGTCTAGATGGAGTACTGTAACATGCTGTGCATAGGGACACTCTTGAAGCAGCTTTTGCTGCTACAAAATGCAGAAACATAGGCAGTTGTGTGTGCTCCAAGAACCGCACACATTATACCTGTTTTGTAAGCGGTGTTGGCTACAAATTTGCTTCTGGGCCAATTTACAGCTTTACTTGGTGTGTGCCCAGGTTATTTGAGGGACTGCCTGCCCCCAGTTACATCTGTCATCTCATCAGTTCAGGAGGTACAGATATATTATGGCCCATCAGCTTGAGTTTTATTGAGCAGACCTAGGAGGAAAGCCTATTCTGACCACCGTCCTGTGAATCATTTCTCCTGAGGTAAGCCTGACCTCAATCATATTGTCCCTCTGGAAGGCCCTCAAAATGTGGTTTTGCCAATAAGCTTAGGGATCCCATGATAAAATTGAGTGTGCTAGATCACTGTATAATAGGGATTTTTTTTTCTTTTCAAATTTAAATTGTGGTTTTTAATGGTTATTATGCATGCTGCCCAGAATCACTGTTAGGTGAGTGGTTATATACATGTGACAAATAAATAAAAACAGTTTGATTTGATCTTCTTTTCGTGTATTTTAATATTTTATCTTGAATTATCTACATTACCTTGAGAGATTCAGGAAAATTCTTCTTTAACATTTGTTCTAGAACCTGCAGTTTTGTGGAACAGTTAAGCACCAACATCTTCACTTGCCTATTTAACAGCAACCTAGTACAAAAGGAGATATCTGGAAAAAAGAGAACTTCGATGGATTGGACAAATGGCGTTCCTAGATTTTACTCAATGCTTTGTAAGATTAGCATTGCCTTAAATAATATGAACTTTATCTTAAATTCTTTGTAAAGATGTTTCTACATTTACTAATATAATAAAGGCTCTGAATATTCAATACCAACTCAAATTGTACCATAGACACAAATCCTATCATGGAGCTTGGTGGCCTCAAGAATAAACCAACCAAGGCTTTACAGTGGAATTTATAAACTGGATTACCTGTACAGGTAATCCTTGACATATGACAGTAATGTCCTAGATCCCATTCATGTCAGGAGTCAAAGACTATGTTAAATGTAGTCAGGAACCCATTCATGTCAGGATTCAAGGACTATGTTAAATGAAGCATATAATTAACCTCCCTGTTCTTGCTTTCCCTGATGCATGGGTCATTAGGTAGAGCATGGGGTGACTCAGGGATGGGGGAAACTGTGGGAGGCCTAGTGCTGGCACAGGTGAATCTGGGAATCCTCCCCCACCCTGATATCCCATGCTTTACCTCCTGCCCCTTTGATTCCCTAAAGTCCTATGGGCCTCCTCCAGATTCCACCGTCATAATCGCATTTATCTTTCAAAGATATCCAGAGGATAACATGGCACAATTGAAAAGAAATCCTGCTGGTTTTGCTTCCCTCCAGCCAGTGTAAATCCTCCCATGTGGCCTCTTCCTTCCCAGCTTCCTAAATTCTGCAGATCTTCAGAAGATAAGCATGTGAAGAATGGAAAACGACCACTTGAAATCCGGCGAGGGGCAAAGCCCATGCCTTTGGGGACCCAGCAGGCCAGGATGGGGGGGGGGGGGAATAGATGTGGTTGTGCTGCAGCATCATTTCAAAGAATTCTGCAGAAGCAGAATTCATAAGGGTGGTTTCTGTAGAATTTGTTACTTTGAAAAAGTCATATATAATTTTTGGGGGGTTGGGGGGTTATGTTGTAACTTTGAATGATCATTAAATGATCTGTCATACCTCAAGGATTACCTGAAGTTGCAAATCAGGATTTTAAATCCCAGTGGACATTACATCATTGATTTTCTACAATACTTATTAGATTATTGCTTTATGTTTTTTTTCATTCATTAGTCAATTCTGTATGATTCTGAGTTTATGTATTGAACAAATTAGTTCCTTCACTAAAGGCTATCCAAAGCACAATAAACAAATATCAGGCATTATTGTTGAAAAAATACTGTACATATCCTGTACAGTACAGAATTTTTTAAAAAACTATATTGCCTTTCAAGCTCAACGATACCATATACTAAGAAAATATATAGAAGCTTTGAATGAGATAGTGGAAGAGTGCATGCAAAAAGAAGCAGTCCCAAACTAGCAACACTTAAATTATACACTCTGGATGCAGAACCTATAGTATAGGTAGAATGACAGACTAAAAAGAAACTCATTGGAAGTTTTGCATTTTCAAAATTAGGTACTTTTAAAAAGATCTATCCATTTAAAGAAATTACCCATAAATTAGGGAACCCTGAATACTTAATGCATTGATCTGTCTAGACAATCATTTCAAAGGCCATAATCCCAATTCTCATAGATAGCTGGAGCTGTCCTCACATACCTGGAGTTGACTCTACAGCGTTATTATACAGACGCAGAACACAGCCAAAACAAGAAGAGGGAGCTGCACTTCATATTATATATAAACCTTCTAGGATGGGTCACCAGGTGGTGGAAACTAGCTCCACTTGTAGAGGAGGGATTTGAAATACTGGCCAAATCAATCAAAGATACGTTCTGCGTGTATTTTGTTACACATATCCTCCTCTGTAATTATCCGTGCATTTATTGCAACAAAATGTTTTGACATACTTTAAATGAGAACTGCTATTAATCTATACAATCAAGTCATTCTTAATTCTAAGTATTGTAGAATTCTTAAAGTTGTGCACAATTGTGAAAAGTAGGTAGCTTCTCTGCCTTCAAAACATTCAGCTTCTGATATTTGATGCCCATTTTCTTTTATGTTCGTCAGGGAAAAATTTTCTGTATGCAACTCTATCTCTTCACAATCTTATTTGCCTGGCTGAATCTGGATCATGGTTAACAGGAGTTTCATCTACAAGTACAAGAGGAATTGTCAGATCCTTAAAAGTGATACTGCCATTCAATTGGAAGGAGGAGGAGATTTGGATTCCATTTACTAGCATTGCCTGCGTCAACAGATATTTTACAACCTATATCCTGGCGCCAAAGCACCTTGAGATCTCCTTAACGTTGAGGAATGTTTATGACAGTCATGTGGGCTGTTTCACTTTAAAGGATAATGGAGGATAACGATGTGAATATAGTACACATCCACATTTTTGGAGGACACCAACTCAGGAAACTATCAAGTGTTACAAGACAAAGACAAATGAATGGGAAAAGCAATTAGAGATTTTCATTTTGTTTAAACAATGGAAAATAGCTCTAACATTGCTGTCAACCATTTTAATAGATCTTAAATTATGGCTTATTCAACAAAAAAGAATAGATTGTATTTACAGATCTTGATTGCATTTGTATAGAAAAGGAATAAGTAAATCATCCTGCTGGAGATATAATAAGAGCAATATTTCATCAAAACATTGAAATAATGGTCTAAGGCTTTAGTTCTAGAAAACAATACTGATTTTACGATAAGTGTTTAACATTTTTCAACATCCATATTCTAATTACATACCTATTAAATGGAAACAGGCAGCTGACCAACAGAAATGGATTCTGTATGCCATTCTAGCTGTCAAGGGACTAGTCTTTCAACATCAGGAAAAGAAATTTATACTCTCCCTCTCCCCAAAAAGCATCAATGAAACCCCAATGCAACTTATAAATGAATTGCTTACAGACTTATTTAGGGATGTGTACGAGATAGGGTCCTTTTATTAGAATGCTTATGTAAAACCTTCTATATATACACACGTAGTCATCAACTTACAATGCAACTGGACTGGATTTCCACTTGTAAGTCATTACAATGGTAAGTTGAGGAACCCATGCAAACAGATTTTACAACATTTTTTGCAGCAGTCATAATGCAAATCATCACGGTCATTAAGCAAATCTATGACTGGTAAGTGAATGCTGCTGTCGAAAGTGCAAATGTTTGTTGCCAGAAACCAACCAAAAATGCCAGAAACTGGCAGGTTTTTTTTTTTGCAAATAATAGTCCTATGACCACAGGATGTTGCAACCTGTTGTGAAGGTGAGCCAGTTGTCAAGCACCCAAAATGCAGTCATGGGAAGACTGGGGAAAGACGAGCAGTGGCACATTTTATGACAACCAGAAGTGCCTTACAAGCAATAAAGCACTCGTTTAGGGTGTGTCATAATTTCAAATGGTCATTAAGCAACTGGTCGCAAGTTGAAGACTACCTGTATGTACATGCATCAGAAGGCCTTATGTATAAGTAGTCCTCGCTTAATGAAATCTGTTTAGTGACCACAGTTACAATAGTGCTGAACAAATGAGACTTACACTCAGTTCTTGAAGTAATGGGCATTGTAACAATTAGTTACATGATCAAAATTCAATCACTTAGCAGTCCTCATATTTATGACTACATTTTTATGACTACAATCCTTACAGGAATGAGGATGGTTTTTTTGCAGTTAGTGGTACTTTGATAGGAGTGTTTAGGAGGTAATGTGAGATAGGGATGTCAATGAATGTAAATACATCAAGTGGATCAGAGACTTAAATTGATTTTATCCCTTGAGCGCCCCCCCCCCCCCAAATACAAATTCATTGTGCCTCAGATTTAAGCAGAATGATCCTGAAGTGATGTTTGGACCAAAGAAAGGAAACAAGGGTCACATATATCTCCCTTATAGGGTTGAAAAGGGAAAAGAAACTTCAAAGAAAAACGCATATAACATCAGTAAAAATATAACCTACAGAAATACAGGTAATTGTTTCTAGAATTTATTATGGAATATAGGACGATTGTTGTGGTCTATCTAAAGTAACTGCATGTCTGTAGAAAATTTTTTATAGTTAAAATATTTATATTTAATCTAAACTGAAATTTTAAAAAGCAGTACAAGTTTCCCTATTAGGCAGTAAACACCTTCTTTTTGATTATTTTAAGGCAATATTATTTTGCTTCTTGTAAACAGCTGCTACAGCCAAATTGTCCTTGACAATTTACATAGGTCTACATACTAGTGACTTAAATCTTTATCCCAGAGTGCTACAAAATCATTGCAGAATACAAACACATCACACAGACTGAAAAATTAAAATACAGTATTCTATTATAGAAAATGTATTTACACACTTCAGCTAAAATCTGTCTCTCAAATATGCCTCCCTTACTTAGGCTTCTGATGTCCCTTATATAATAACCATACATAAAATTTTAGCTCTGGAAATCAGACTACTGTAGGTTTTCCTCACAGAAACATGTAAATAAATTATAAAGATATCTCACTGACAACACAGTATTCTTTAGGGTTGCATCAAAAAAGCATGTTTATTTTTAAAATATACAACTCTTTCAAAAAAAAAAAATGAAAAAGGACATCTAGGCCAAGGTTCTAACGACAGTAATTTGTCTTATTTTCCAAAAACGAATATCCCTTGAAAATTAACAGAGAGGAACACAACCCTGAGAAAGAGAATTATCCCCTAAACTTGTTCTTAAATCCAAGGAGAATCAGGTATTATTTTCTTTCAATGGTAATCAGTGAAGAATGATACCCTATAATTAAAATAGTTCAATTTTAGGCTTCTCCTACTTTTAAGTATTAATTTCAATATCCATGAGAACCAATTATACTTCAAAGGCCAGGCAAGAGCCAATAGCAGGTCTATTGCTTGATTATATACAAGATTTTTTTTTTAAATTTGATTTATATGCCGCCCTTCTCCGGAGACTCAGGGCGGCTTACAATGCGTTAATTAAAAAGATTGGTCTTTTTAAATATAGAAATAAATTTAACATTCTCATTAGATGTGATTGGGCATCTTAATGTTCAGTATTAACTGGGATACTTCAAGCAACCAATGATATTGCTTGATATCTAAAGGGAGAACAAAGACAATAAGCACAGTCTACTTTAAAGATTTTCTCCCACCCACCATTTGGAAGGAGCAAAGACTTACCTTTGGTGGCCAAGTGAACAACTCATTTAGCAACAATTTAAGAGAATGACATAATGATTAATCTAATGCCACCTTTTCCCCCTAGACCTATTTCTAAAGACAAAAATGGAAGAAGCAAGTGCTTTTTCCATTTAAGATCTAGAAATTGAAGTATTATAGGTTCCCAAAAAGTAATAATGCTGGTTGAGCTTAGTGTTGTTTTGATACGCTTTCTCTTTTTCTCAGATACAATTCCAAGTGAAGAAAGACACCTCAACCTGCTGTATAATACTCTGCAGCTAAAGGAGCAGAGTGAAAGAAACCATATTTAAGAATCCTGGAGCATTAGCCTCCTAAGTAAGCAGATTATATTCTTTACCCATATCCACAAAAATTTGTAGATGACAAATATCCAGTTCCAGGAGGCAGGGGAAAAATAAACTCCTACCCTTTGATTTTTCAGAGCCAGAAACTTGTTGCTCATTATCTCTGAGTTTAACTGAGTCATAAGTCTCCAGTGAAAACTTGTTTATGCTTAAATCAGCTTGCCAATGAAGTAATTAAATGTTGTTATCTGCATTTGTACATGTTTCTCAAGCAGCAGGTCTGCTTGCATCTAAATTACACCAGCATATTCAAAAAGAAACTACAACCCAAAACCAGAGGAAATTTTCTGTTTGGTATTATATAGTAGTAAGTAGCCTTATGTGGAATACTGGTCAAAAGGCTTTTAAAAACTTATTTTGTCATCTGATCAACATGAAGAGTTTTGCATCAAATCTTAATGGTAGTTACAGTCAAAAGAATGGGACTAGCTTGTTACTGAAAAGCCTATCTCTTGATATCTTTTCCCCAATAAAATCGTAGATTATATTTTCTTAATTACATCCAAAATTTCCACAATGTCAATGGAGAATTGCAGAATGCAAATCATGTTAGGAAAACTATTTCTTTCAAAAATTTCCTTGGAAGACGAAAGGAACTAAAGATACAGGTTACTTCAATGTTCTTCTGTACATCGATGGTCTGCCTTTTCATATAATTGTTCTAGAAATGCCATCATATTCTTCATCTCATCTGATTGCTGAATGATATTCATGTCATAAAGAAGAGCGCGTGGATTTCCAATCTTCAAAACCTCATTCTATAAAATAGAAAGTGTAACAGCACAAAATGAAATTAAAATTAGTGGAATACTTTTTATTCAATCAATGGCATACATTCAAGACACGCAAAGACTTCTTACTATCGGGAAGTACTTGAAACATACTGCCACTATTTCTACTCACCTGAAGAGCAGGTAGTTTCAAATACTCCATTGAAAGAGCAGGAAGACCTAGGTCATGATTAGCATCTCTATGAAATAACTGGAAAGAATGGAGAAAACAATTAATGTAAATTTAGAACACCAAATGTTTATTTTCTTTCCCCATACAGGTAGTCAATTGGGACTGGAAAAATTGTTAAGTCAAGGTACCCACAGGACCCAATTTTATAATCATGTTAATGGCAATCATTAAGTGAATCACATGGTTATCTGAATACATTCTCCCAAATGGGTGCCAGAAACTAGCAAAAAATACAAGTAGTCCTTGATTTACAACCACAATTGTGCCCAAAATTTCCATTGCTAACCAAGACAGTTAAGTGAATTTTTCTCCATTTTACATTTCTTGCCATAGTTAAGTGAATCATTGCAGTTGTTAAGTTAGTAACATGGTTAAGTGAATCTGGCTTCCTCATTGACTTTTGCTTGTCAGAAGGTAACAAAAGGTGATCACATGACCATAGGATGCTGCAATAATCATAAATGAATGCCAAATGTCCAAATTTAGATTATGTGACCATGGGGATGCTGCAATGGTCGTACATGTGAAAAACAATTCTAAGTCATTTTTTCCAGTAAATTGTAACTTCAAATGGTCACTAAACGTAAGTCGAGGACTATCTATATTGCAAATTGTGGTCATGTGACTGTGGGATGCTGCAATTAGTCATAAATGTGAGCTGGGTGCCAAGCAGCCAATATGCAACATTTTACAATGGCTGGAATAACTAACTAAGGCTGATGTAACATCAAACAGTCACTAAACAACTGCTTGTAAATTGAAGACTACCTGTATCTGCTTCTGGAAAAAAGAGACTGTTATTTTCATTTCTCAAATTGCTTTGTCAAGGAAAAATTAAGTCTTGTATAATTCTTACTGCCCAGAAATAAATCCAGTACTGGCTCCCAAATACCTCATTTGCTTCTGCTTCTAATGTTGTCAGCTCATGTTTTAATGCTTTTATTTTCTTCTGAAGTATTTGAATTTTTTCATCCACTCTATTTAATGTTAAGAAATCTTTGGTTATTTCTTCCTATGGTTAAAATGAAAGATGACAACAAATGGATTTGAAGTAAGGACATTACTGCATTTGTGTTAGAATTAAGACAAATTTAATATGTCATAAAAGTTTATGTAACATATTTCTTCTCTCTCTCCTTAATTATAACATGGAATCTATTGAAAAAATATTCCTATTAGTTAAATAGATATTAAAAATATAATATATAATTTATAATTATATAATTTGTAAACGGGAATAAAAAAGATCATTTAAGGATTCATATGCAGCACCTTGGGTTTCAGAATTTAGTTTTCTATTCTTCTTTGGGAAGGGGGAGCTATGATAAAGCTGTCCAACACTTTTTATATAAACTTTATTAAGTTTTAAGAGACCATAAGAATTAGCAGAAACTAATAGAGAAAGAAACAAATGAAAGTTCCAATTTACAGCAAATACAATAATGATGACAAAGTTATCTTACTGTGATTACAAAAAGCTCATTCTTTTCTATTATGCAATCATCAAAGTCACAAATCATAAATGCATTTTAAAAATGTTTTATGCAAAAAATCTACAAGAAGTTTCCAGTCAGCCACAAATGTAGGTATTGTCTTTCAAGGAAGTGAAATCAGCCATGTTTTTCAGTTGCTTGTACATTAGTCCCAAAACAGAAGCCTCTGGTTTGAATTAGAAGAACTGAAGTTCGAACAAAGTTAAAGAAAATAAATTTGAAGTAAAGGAAGGAGAAAGAGAGAGGGGGGGCAGGCAGGAAGAGAAGGACAGGAAAAGAAAAGAGGAGTGGGATCAGGGAAAAGCAATAGCAATGGCAATGAGGCAATCAACAGTAGTAGGTACGATCAGTGAGCACTGCATCTGCTGCTGAGCTGGGAGGCGTAACTATGAGTGTGACTGTTGGCAATAAGATGTTTACTGAGCAGCAGCGGCAGCAGATGCAACGGGTGAGCAGAAAAGCAGGCACATTGGCAGGTGCAACCAGTGGCGGCAGGAGATGCAAATGACTCAAGATGTTTTTCAAGGGCAGCAGCAGCATGGCATTGGGTGCAACAAGGAACTTAGTGTGGAAAAGATGAAGAAAAAGGAGGAAAAGTAACATGTATAAGATAAAATTAAGTAAGTTAAAGAAGCAGAAGAAAGAGGTGAAGAGGGAGAGAGAGAAGGCATGGTGTCAGAACAGAATGGTGTTGGAACAGAATGTAAACCACTGGTTGAATGGATAGTGCTGTTGAGAGAACTTTATATTCCGACCTAGACCAATCTACATTACTTTAATGAAGGGTTTCTAGCAGGGGATGAGCTACACATCACAAGAACCAGGAAGAACATGTTTGGAAAACAACTGGCTTGGCTTATCCAAAGGGTTTTAAGCTAAAATTGGAAGGAGAGGGAAATTAAGCTTTAGGGCCTAAACTCAAGCATGAACCTCAAGACATCCAATCAAGTGGTTGAGAAGGAAGGGAAACTCAGATACGAAACAGGTGATGTAGGAAGCAAATGCAGAATCAGTCAAAAAGGACTCAGATGCCTATATACTCATGCTCAAAGTATGAGGAACAAACAAGGCGAACTTGAAGTCCTAGTACCGTGATAGTGAACCTATGGCATGCGTGCCAGAAGTGGCATGCAGAGTCATCTCTCCGGGCACACCAGCATTGCCCTTAGCTCTTCCGGGTTCAGGCACATGCATGCGTGCCGGCAGCTGGTCTTTGTGTGTGGAGGAGCACCAGAAACCGGAAGACCAGGTGGCTGGTGTGCATGCACATGCCAGGGAGCTGCTCTTCTGGTTTCCAGTGCTCCCCTGCACATGCGCTCCCGTTCACCAACACTGTCCTAGTACATGAGGCCAGATATGACATTGTTGCCATTACTGAAACTTTGGTGGGATGAAACCCATGACTTGAATGTACTGGATTTAAATTGTTTAAAAGAAACAGACCTGAGAAAAGAGGTGGGTTTATATTGTGTGTAACAAACAACTACACTTCTACAGTAATGAGGGGGGAAAAAAAACCTTCTTGAATCCATTTGGGTTAATGTAAAAGAAAAAAGGAATGATGTTGCCATAAGTGTAAACCACAGACACATGTATAACTGTACCATCTACTCGAGTATAAGCCGAGTTTTTCAGCACATTTTTTATGCTGAAAAAAGCCCCCCCTTGGCTTATACTCGAGTGAGGAAAAAATGCCTTTTTTCCTGCAACCCGTTTTGGCTTCCAGGGGCTGCAGGGAGGCTTGCTAAGGCCAAAATGGGGCATGGGGGGGGGGGTGCCTAGCAAGACTCCCTGCAGCCCCCTGGAAGCAAAAACGGGCTGCGGGGGGGAGGGGCTTCAAGGCAGAAACCAACAAAGAAATCCTCATTGTTTAGGGCTTTTCTTCCTCCTACCAAAGACCTTCTGGGGTTCTTCACAGAAAGGGAGAAAGGAGAAAGAGAGGGAGAAAGAAAGAGAGAGAGAGAGAGAAGAAAGAGACAAAGAAAGAAAAGAAAAAAAAAAAGAAAAAGGAAGGGAGAGAGAGAGAGAGAATGCAGGTATCTCTTAACAGAGGCTTGAACTTGCATGAAATTAGATCAAGCCCTACATCACTTAACCCAATGTATCAGATTAAATTGTTATTGAATTATTTTTGGTATATATACTACATTCTCTTGTGTAATTTAGTTATAGTGTAAAACTAGCCTATTACGTCTCAAAATAAACGGGAGATCAAAAATCCAATTAGTGCCATGTAAATTCTGGAATCCGCAAAGACCTTTCCCATTGTATTTATTAAACAAATTTATATAGCTACCCAACTCATATACAGTGACTTTATCACTTTCATGTTCCTTTCATGTAGTTTTCAACTTTATTTCCTCCACCAAAATTCTATTATAAATAATATTACCACACATTACAGCTCTAATTTTGTGTATTTGCGCCAGTAATTTTCAGAAAAAGATTTATTCCTCTCTTACATAGTTATTTAGAAGTAGCTTCATATGTCAGTTTACTTTTACCATTAAAAAAATGTTTTGTTGCATTATATGACTGCAAAAGCCTTTCAGCAGTTTCATGTAACAGGAAATATCCAGTAACCATTTTGAAAGTAGTTGTCATAGCCAAAAACATTTAACCTACTGATGCCTCAATTAATGTAATTTTATTGGTATCTATTTTTATTTTGAAATTTACCAATAGCTGCTGCATTTCCCACCCTAGGCTTATACTTGAGTCAATAAGTTTTCCAGTTTTTTGTGGTAAAATTAGGTGCCTCAACTTATATTCAGGTCGACTTATACTCGAATATATATGGGTATACTATACATTCCCAAAGTGATTAAGAGTGGGGAAGGTAAACCTTAACGTCCACATTGGTGCCACTGCAATTAAGAGCACAGATGCAATCCAGAACTCTGGAAGCTCAACTCACAAGCCAACGGAGAAAACAGTTCCATTTCTGCAGTTTATTCGGAAAGAACCATGAATTAAAATCCACCTCCCAGTCAGTGTTTCAAACCATAGTGGCTATCTGCATCTTTGAGGAGCATCAGCCCACTGTTATTCCCCATCACAAGCTTGTCTGGCTGTGCAACACTTCTAATTCAATTCAAAAACTTTCCTTTAACAGTTGTCAAGTTTTTGGAAAATACCATGAATCCAAACCAGAATCTAAATATTACATAACTCTAATAATTGTCAACATTGCTGATTTAGTTGGGCCACAATTGAATCCATCAATGGACTTTATGCATAGAAGAATAAATCAAAATTGATTTGCCCATTCAAAATGGAAATTTTAATCCTTTGAATCAAATCACAAATAATCAAATCTCAGCTAATCTGCATATTTATATTCTGCAACAATAGTGTAATGATTAGCACCAACTGTTTTTAAATTTCATAAAAATAAAAAAAAATAGATTAAAAAGGAAAGAACAGTAATGATATGATATGTCAGGTTTCGATGTCATCTCAAATAAATTGCACCTTTTTATAAGTATCAGAGCATTTTGCAATGTATGAAAGATTAATAAGATTTATTATGACATTTTACAGATGCTTGGAATAGTAGTAATAATATATGAATGGAAATAATAAAGTCAGGCAAGATTGTTCATTGATTTTGTAGCAACATTCTAACATAGCTATGGGAAAATCTCATTTGTGGAACATTGTTTAGTATATCATATTAACTATTTACTCATTCAATGTACTATATAAATTCTTAAAATCCATCCTCTCTTCCTTATTTACCTCCAGATGCTTCAATCCTTCTTCCATTAAAATATACTTTTTCTTTTCTTCTTTTAGAAGCTTTTTTACATTGCTCAGATAATTCAGCTCATCCACAGGAACTTCCAAAGTTTGAATACTTTTCAGGAGCCTTCAGTAAATTGTTAAACAACATTATCATTTTATGCTAATTCTATCATGATTATCTGTAATATATGAAATCATGCAATGAAAATATCAAACCAAATAAGACGAGTTCTTTTTTTTGGGGGGGGCGCTAAATAAGCACTAGGGCTTATTTTGAGGGGAGGATTCCCCCCCCATATATGGGAGGCCCACTTCTTCTGCTTACCAGTGCTGCCGCCATGAGGCGGGGTGGTGGTGGTGTTGGCGCTACCCCTGCACCAGCTTATCTCAAGGCTCCTGTAGCTAAGCCACCATGCCCCGATCCTGCTATCCAGCAGGATCCCGCTGGCCCACTTCTGCTTACTCATGGCCACAATGGAGGAGGGGAGCAATGTACCGGTACCACAGCCGCAAGGTGGGGAGGTGGAGCTGCCCCATGTGCATCACCCTGACACCTGCCTCACCTCGTGGCCACAGCACCAGCATACGTGGCCACGACCAAGCAGAAAAAGTGGGCCGCCGGTCACATGGGCTCCTGCTGCACATGGTAGTTGGTGCTGCCACCACGAGGCAGGTGTCAGGACATGGATGGCCTGGCTACAGGGGCCCTGAGGTAAGCCGGTGCAGATCGCATGGGGCAGTTCTGTCACATCTCGTGGCTGCGGCACTGTAACCATATAGACTGGGCAGGCAGCTGGCTGAGCAGGCTCTTAAGTAGGGCTTATTTTGGGGATAGCGCTTATATTAGGCGCATGTGTAAAAACACGCTAAGGCTTATTTTCAGTATAGGTCTTATTTTCAGGGAAACAGGTTACTAGTTACTATGCTAAAAATGTTTCTCTGTTGAAAATCAATGTTGTTAAATTTGTAATATATTTGTTCCTCACTGTCTCTGCACTGATCTTTGGCATCAACAAAAGAAATGTACCAAGCAGAGAAAACTGCCAAGTCCAAATCTGAGTATATAAGAGGTCCTCAATTTATGACCAATTGTTTAAGTTACAACAGGCCTCCGCAACAAGAATTTATGACCCAGTTCTGAAGATTTGATGGCTGACACCCCCCCCAGACATGTGACCACATTTTGGGTGCTCAGCAACCAGCCCCATTTATGGTCATTCGTAGCTTCTCTCAGTCATGTTACTTTTTTTTGGGCCAAAAACTATGTTTCCTTCCACAGGTGTTTACAGCAAAAATTACCCATAGCAAACAATAAGTTTGTTTAACTGCCACAGTGTTCATCTAATGATTGCTGGAAAAATTGGGTCAGTCATATGATGATCTGTTTTATGACCCACCACAAATTATAGCCATAATTACCAGGCTCAATTACAGTCAGGGGCCATCTATATATCAATTAGTCCAACATGTCTTTATCTGGATAGTGACAGTATGCACACATAAATGTTGGAACTCAACATATAACTTAGGCCTTTGCCTTAGTGATATAACTATGTTCTACTGGGTTAAAGCAATATAACCTTAAGTTACAGACCAGTTATTTGGTCAAACATCTACTTAAAGCAAAACTAAAGAAACACACTATGGCTTAAGTTAATATATGCCATTTTGTCCTCTAAAATGCCTATATGGACCATGTAAGGATTAGAATGGTATTGTGCAATTCAATATCTTATTATTTAATGAAAGAATTTTTTTTTGAAAAAGTAAAGCAACACAGATTGGCATCACAGAAGAATATCAAAGAGATAGTGGGGTAGATCCCTTAATACATATTGTATTATATAGAAACAGAAAAAGTTATTTAGCCTGCTGAAGCAATTTGCATAAAATTCAGAAAACTTTGTAATTTAGCAAATTTAAATATCCACCTTTCTCACAAAAAGTGTTTTTGGACAGCTTACAAAATTACAAATTCTTTCTAACATATGCTTAGAAGTTACTATCAGATTTACAAAGTAATTCAGATTGGAAACATGTCCAGATGAATTAATTTTTCTTTATTCTAAGATTATTTTAAAAGAATCTTGTACAATTGTATTTTTCTCCTTTACAACTCAAGAAACTAGGAAAGGTTCCTTCTGAAATGTTTACTATGACCATATTCCTTTTATGGACTAAGCTGCCTCTTATTCAACTGTTCCTCTGGCTGTGGCTTTTCACCTTGTGAAACACCCAAGGTGATTCACATATACCTTTAATTACTTACACCCGTTTTTGATTTAAATCAAGTCATTTAAGGCCAAAATTGAAATCATGATTTAAATCACTAGTAAAAAGGCTCGATTTAAATCAACTCAATTTAAATTGTAATTTTTAAAGAGCAACTGTTATCTCTGTCCCGCAGGGGCTTCTCCTCTGACCTGCTATGACTCATTCACGACAGTCTATTGCAGAATATAGCGTCATGCTACATAACTAAGCTCCATTTCATGCTGAATAAACTAAATTATATGTATGTATGTATGTATGTATGTATGTATGTATGTATGTATGTAGGTCTTTGGTTATTCGGGTCTTCTCCCACGTAAAATTGGAAGTGTCTTGGCGACGTTTCGACGAAGTCTCATTCGTCATCTTCAGGCTGGTGTTCTCGGCTTTTACGTGGGAGAAGGCCCGAATAACCAAAGACCTACATACAAACACCCGCGAAAACCTGAGAAAACACACACACACACACACACACACACACACATATATATAAAAGTAAATGTTCGTTTGTTCAAAATCTTAAATCTCTGAAAGTTCTTCATCGATTGCTTTGAAATTTTGACACAACGTTGCATTCGAATATGCGTGTGTTTTTATATACCTACTATATATAGATGTCACACCTGTGACAGGTAAAAACATGCTTTTTTGAAAACAGCGCCATCTGTTGGACGTAAAAGCAACACACGCTATACTAAATATTTCATTTAGTATTTCATTCCATTTCAATGTTTCTGATTTACGATCCATTTACGATTTCCAAATTTCCAATTTTACGATTCCATTTCAATGTTTCCGATTGCATTGATAAATTGAATTTTCATAAATTTCTATTTATTTTCATTTTGATTCAATTTAGTGCGACATTGCGTTGGAATTGAGCTGTGTCGTATCCTTCTGTAACTCAGGTCACGCCTACTTTGCCTGCGTCCCACCAGTCTTTTCACTCAGTCAATTGGATTCAGACCTGAGTTGCCTTTCTCTACGTTTCTTTTTGGACTTTAACATCGCAGCACCACAATAGCAGGCACGAGCTGGGTCTTTTCCCCTCAGCACCACCGCCGCCAAACCCACAAGCAAAATGGCGGGAAATGTCAACCGCCGCAAAGCATCCTCCCGACTAACAGAGTATGCCGTACCTTTGGCAGGGACCCCGATGCCGCCTGTGGTGCGGAGAGGTGCGAAGGTGAAGGCGGTTATACTGGCAAGCTGGGAAATCAGCTCTTACACCCGCGGCAAAGTATCCTCAGAGGCATCCAAAGACAAACCTCCGGATGGCTGCTGGATTCAAATTATTTGTCGGCGGCCAGCGTCCTGGAGCCCCAGGAACACAAACTCACCGACAGCAGCCCAGGAGGAGGCCTCCGCCAATCCCACGACGCGCAGCTCTCCCAATACAAACACCAAATAGATAAAAGTCCAAGAAAGCAATTGATTAAGCGACGTTAAAGTCCAAAAAGAAACGTACAGAAAGGTAACTCAGGTCTGAATCCAATCGACCGAGAGAAAAGACTGGTGGGACGGAGGCAAAGTAGGCGTGACCTGAGCTACAGAGGAAAATTATTGGCACTCGGTCAAAAAATATTGTATACCCACAAGACTGAGCCACAGCAATGCGTGACCGGGTACAGTTAGTCTTAAATAAAAAACTATCTTTAGATAGATTTTTACCCGAAAAGCATTTTATTAAAATAAAGTTAATAAAAATAAAAAAAATCCAATTTAAATTTTAAAAATCCAATTTTTGGTTTGTTTTTTTAAAAAATCATCGATATTTATCTACCCTGGTTACCTAGCCAGGTTTGTAGATTGGTTATTGGTGCAGCTACTTCTTATTTTATAACTACCGTATTTTCCGGCGTATAAGACGACTTTTTAACACATGAAAATCTTCTCAAAAGTCGGGGGTCGTCTTATACGCCGGGTGTAGTACTCCTGTAACCAGGCAGACCAGCCCGAAAGGCTCTGACGAGCCTTAAATGGCTCTGGCGATCCCAGCTCTGGCGATCCCAGCTCTGACAATCCCAGCTGAGTTCCCTGCAACTCAGCTGGGATCGCCAGAAACCACGTAAAAGGGAAAAAGTTTCCCCCCCTCCAGCTTGCTTACCTCAGCTGCTAGTCGCAACGCTTGCCTTGCTTTGCTTGCCTGAATCTATTCAGGCAACAAGCAACTCCCTGCCTGCAATCAAGCAAGGAGTTAGTTGTGGACTTCAACTCCCAGAATTCCTCAGCCAGCAAAGCAAAGCTGGCTGAGGAATTCTGGGAGTTGAAGTCTACAAGTCTTAAAGTTGCCAAGGTTGGAGACCCCTGTTCTATTGGGTAAGTTTTTTTCCCCTTTGGGAGCTTTAAAAAAATAGTCAATTGGGGTTTTTTTAGTTGTTCTTTTTTAGACCTAGCCATTTAAAGTTTAGGAAGTTTTAAATTTAGCTTTCATATAAAAATAAAAATAAAATAAAATAAAACAATATTTGTGCAGCTTTCTGAGATTTAGTGTGTTTCTGTAGTGTTTCACTCCAACTACACAAACACACAAAATCTCACAAAGCTGTATGTGGAATTTTGTGTGTGTAAAGTGTGAAAGTTGGTTTTTTGGATTTTTTGTGGCTGTGTGAGGTTCCTGCTTGTTGCAGGGGCCATTTTGCGTCTAGCACAGCTGCTTTTACATTGTGGGTGAGCCAGTTGTGTTGTGTTGTGTGTGTTTAGAGTGTGAAAGTTTTTTTGGGGGGCTTTTTGTGGCTGTGTGAGGTTCCTGCTTGTTACAGGGGCCATTTTGGGTCTAGCACAGCTGCTTTTACATTGTAGGTGAGCCAGTTGATGTTTTTTAATTTTTATTTGGTGTGCATTGGAAGAGGGGCAGTCTTATATGGCGAGTATAGCCCAAACCCTATATTTTAACAGGAAAAGTTGGGGGTCGTCTTATACACCCAGTCGTCTTATACGCCGGAAAATACGGTATTTGTTTAGCATCCATTTGAAGTTACAGTACTGAAAAAAAGTGACTTACGAGTCCTCACACTTACAACCTCACACTTAAAAGTATCCCCCGTCACATGATCAAAATTCAGGCACTTGGCAACCAGCACATATTTACAATGGTTGCAGCATCCCAGTTCACGTGATTGCCACTTGCAACCTTCCCAGCTAGCTTCCAACAAACTAAGTCAATGGGCGAAGCTGGATTTGTTTAATGACCATACGATTTAATTAGAAACTGCAGTGATTTGGTTAACTGTGGCAATTTTTTTTTGTAAAATCTGGCATGACTCACTTAACAATCACCTTGCTTAGCAACAGAAATTCTGGTTGTAAGTTGAGACTACCATGTATACCTTATTTTCCTACACCAGCTTAAGAGGGTGGAGGTGTGGAAGAGAACAGCTGCATATTAGAATGTTCGACATTTCAACATATGCACTAACGTACCAATCCAAATAAATATGCTACTTCTCTATTATTTCATCTTTTAATAAGCTGAATGTGTTTTATTAGGTTCTAATTGGGCAATAATTCTGATTCTAGAAATAGAAATATTAAAATTCAGGAACCTATACCATTCTAATGCTTTTTCCTATAAAAGTAAAAAAAAAAACATTAAATGATTTCTAAAAAACCTAATACCATTAGGTGCTGTCATTAGGTACTGTCTGTGACAAGCTAAACTTGACCCAATATGTGGCATAGTTGCTCCAAAAATAATTAAGACAGCTGCAAGGTACATTAAGAAGAAGCACTGTATAAATAACATGTGAAGTCCTAATTCCCCTCTATTTTATGTGCAGTGCTTTCTTAAGCATATTTGGAATTCAGAGGAATTCCAGAAATACCACTTCAAATTTATTGCTATTACTTGGCTATTAATGACATAAGAAACCCCTTTCTATTTGTACTATTACTTGATGTATATAGATAATCCTCACTTATTGACCACTTGTACAGTGACTGTTTGAAATTGTGATGGCCCTGAAAGTAGAATTTACTAGTTATACTTATAGCTAATCTGCAATGTTCCAGATGTCATAGCTCCCATCTGGTCATGTGATCAAGATTCAGGCACTTGGCAACCAACTTACATTTATGATGTGCAACCCATACCCCATGGTCACATTATGGATATTTACAACCCTTCCTGCTGGCTTCTCACAAGTAATGTCAATGAGGAAGATGGTGGGAAGGTCTTAAATTGTTCCATCTACTCTCCAACTTTCCTGTACTGCCGCAACTTGCTTCCCAAAATTGCATCCCCCATGTTGCTTCCCCCTCCCCGCATCCTGCCCCGCTGGGTCTGCACAGGTGAAATCTAAGCTTCACCAGCATCTGAGTAAGAGACGGAGCTTGCAGTTCAACCCAAGATAAAGGAAATAAGCTCTGCATTGATTGGTTGCCGCTGCCTTCATGCCCCAATTCCTGAAGCTGCTGATTCAAACTAGCCACCCAGTCACAAGTAGAAGGCTGCTGAGGCACTGCCCAGGCTGGAACCAAACAAAGCTTGCAGGGATGCTGGCCTTGTGGCAGAAAAGCCAAAGTTTTTTTTTTATTCAGAAGCTGATGAAACTATTTTCCTTAGATCTGGCATTCTTACAGCTTCACCGGTGTCTGAATAAAAGATGGCCACTTTTCTGCCACATGGGTTAGGCTGCTCTGGAGCTCTTCGAAAGGTAAGTGAGTGATTGGAAACAGGGTGGGGAAGAGCAAGTGGAATCGGGGGGAGGGGGGCTAGCAAAGCCGGCCCAGTGCCTCTGCAGACCTGGCAGGGCGGGATGGGGGGGCCTATGCAGGGGACATGTTGCATGGTCTCTGTGGTCCGCTGTAAGGACAAACGGCTGCTGTGGTGCTGCAACATACATAACTTCAGAACTGGGTCGTAAGTACTTTTTTTTGGGGGGGGGGATGTCGTAATTTCAAACCATCACTAAATGAACTGTCGTAACTCGAGGAATACCTGTATTACACTGCTAACTGCAGACATTTTAAATCTATTTTAAGGATAAAACTTATTGAATTCAAAAGCATTTATATTATCCCAACATTGGATGAACAATGGCAGAAGTTTTGGGTTGTTGTTGTTTAAGTGTTTTCTTTACCTTTCCTTGAGGATATTCAAGTGCTTTTCAGTTTCGTTGTAATCTTTTGTAATTTCATAGAGAATAGCTCTGTAAAGAGAGATAATATATTAACGTTTTTCACCCATATGCACATTATGTGATGCTTTTATGTCTTTGCCTGGAAAAAGTGTTAATAGCAGACACAAAATCATTTGCACACCAAGATATCCTCAGTGTAAACAGGATTGATTTGTGTCTTGCTTTCTGCTTTTCAACATTTCCTGTGTAATTGTTAGCATTTATGTGTGTTGATTTTACATAACACCAGATGTATTTGTTTACATGTAATTAAGTGCAACCAAAACCATTGTGCAAAAATTCAGCTAGCAATCAATACCAATTCTTTTATTCTAGATGTGTGTTAACATGCACTCTGTGCAACTGAAACTACTGTGCAAGTGAAGACATTGTTTGTTATTGCCAAAAATCCATCAAATACCAGTACTGCATTTCAGAGGTGTACACTTGGGTGAAATCAGTGCAATCAAAATTATTCTGCAATCAAAGCAATCATTCAGATTTGCAAAAATCCAGCTAATAATCAAAATCATTATCTTTTTTCATTCCCCGAATTCTTTTACTTAGAAGATATTATTAATGACAACTGGATTTATTAATGTAGGTGAAACTTTCTAAAAGGGAGGAGATAATGAGTTCTTACATTATTGTCCAATGGATCTTGGATTCTAGACTCTTTTTAATGTTCTTTGGAAGTCGTTGGCATTTCACTTTTTGTTTTGAAGATACCATCATGAATTTTGTTTCCGGAGAGTTTATTTCAACTGCAAAAAGTAAGAATGCTGAAAAACTTTCACCTAAATCTGGTTAGACTGCTGTGCTCTATAACACATACTTAGTGTTATACAATTCAAATGAGATGTTGGCAGTATTTTCTCTGTAAAATATTTACTTTATAAATAATAGAGAAATTACAACAAATAAATTTAAACCAATGTGGCTAAATCCTGGACTGGTTCTCAAAATATTAGGGTTTGTTTAGATTTTTATATCAGCTTTATTGCAGTACAATCCTAAGGAAACAACCAACAAACAATATAAAATGACATCAAACAAAATCTAAAATATTTCCATATGATTTTTAATTAATGAATTATAGCTCCATTTGGCATCCAGTTTTAAGTTTTCTGATTTAAAGTTCAATACAGTTTGCTTAGACATTTATACAAACTTCTCAATATGCATCTCAAATAACAGACATAATTGATCCTTGCATATTTCATCTATGTAATGTCTTTTTCTTTGTCTGCTAAATAAAAGCCTAGAAATAATTAGAACCCTATGGGGTGTTCTTCTATACCTGTCAGCTGCAGTTACATGATGTCTATACTAGAAAATCTTGATACATTCTTGTAGAAATCCTCAAGATCTTATTTTATAAAAGATATTACAAAATAAACAAACATAGATTTTATTTCATTGTTCAGTGAAACTATACAATTCAATAACTATTTGTCATTTAAAACTTGATAAATAAGGGGAGTAGCCACTGGACAGCAGCACTGAAATAATTATTTTCTACATGGAGAATTACTGTTATATGGATTTTTGCTCCAATAGTAATAGTTTTATAACTATATCAGGTGTACAGTTATATTTCTGATAGGGTGACAAAAGACAAAGCTTTAAAAATGTATGATTAATGAAAAATTTCCCTAAAGCTTTTGTGAATTACCAAGGAAAGGGAGCACACAGGTCTTGGCTAGCTAATGTGTTTGAAAGGTGATTTTTTTTAGTCTCCCAAGAATAAAAATAACACAAGACTCTTTAGTTTGTTAGTTTAACTTGTTCTGTCAAACATTTTTTTACAAAATTAACATTATCTTCTATCATTTGCTGTTAAGTTTGAGACATACTTTAAGTTTCTTTTGCTATGTATAATTACATATTTTCAATTCATATATTTATTTATTTACTGAATTTATATTGCTGCCTATTCGCCCATCGCGACTCAAGGCGGTTTACAGAATATAAGACCACATTTAAAACAATAAAAACTAACAAAAAGAATCAAATAAATTAATATAGTACAATATAACAAAATCACCCCCCACCTCCCGCCCCGGCAACAGCAGATCACATGAGCCATTTAATGGGCTCCATCCTGCTCTGGATTCCCCAGGCCTGCTGGCAAAACCAGGTCTTCAATGCCTTTCGGAAGAGTATTAGTGGGGGTCATTCTAATCTCTGGGAGAATGATGATGCAAAGGACCCTGAGATTTTAAAATAACAATGTATTTGAATGAGTATTTTCTTTTTTATTGTTCAACCTATGTATACAGTGCATTCAAAAAGTATCCAGACCCTTCACTTTTGTCAATTTTGCTATGCTGCAGCCTGATTCTACAATTGTTGAAATTTTTTTCCTCATTAATCTACATTCAGTACTCCATAATGACAGAGTGAAAACAGAATTTTCGAAATGTCTGTAAATAAACATGACAAATATTTTCTTTTGTCGATCACTGTCCCAGTTCTGTCCCAAATTCTGTGGGACAAGGTAAAGGCAGTCAAGAGGCAAGAATAATCTGAAACAACTGTATTATAAATACTAATATGTCTTAGCCACTCATTTTCAGGGTTCTCATAGATAAAGAAATGTAAAACAATACCTTCAAGAATCTGTGTTCCCTCTTCCACTTCCATCTTCGAAACTAATAGTATTTCTTGCTATAAAAAAATGACATTTATATTTTAAAAACATGCAACAGGTTTTTAAAAAATGTATGCTCTATACAACTTGGTTTATCAGCCTGCATGATAGCTTATGCTAATCTTTTTATGCATTTTAATATGCCCACTCAATCTTGCTCTTTATCAATCCTGTGTATATTCATTGGAATCAAGTCCTACCAAATAGCAGAATTTGCTTCTATCTGAAGCTTTCTTCTGCCATTCTTTATAAATTTCCTTTATAAATAGGTAGCATTTTCTGTTGCACTTATGAGATGTTTGAATTTTATGTCTTATTTCTAAGATAATCATTGTACTCATCATTCTCATAATGGGTCTAAAAATGTTTATTCTCTCCAATCCTTTACCAAATACCATCTTTACCCATAGAATTTGATTTTATTTCCTTACTGCATCTTATTGCATAATAATGAACAGCTTTAAAGAGAAAGATGATTCAAGTTACTGAATGGTCCTCACACTATGGTCCCTGAATGCCATATAATTAACTGGGGTATACTTCTAACTACCCTGTTTCCCCCAAAATAAGACATCACCTGATAATAAGACCAATCTGGCTTTTGAGCACACGGCAATAAGGCCAAGCACTTATTTCAGGGTTCAAAAAAATATAAGACAGGATCTTATTTTCGGGGAAACACAGAAGATAAACTTAGAATTATGCAGTATTGTAAATTATTATTAGAGCTGTGCAAAGGATCTGAAGGGCACTTTTCAAACCATGCTGTACAAGAAAAGCATCTTCCCCCAAACAATCATGCCCTCTGAAAAGATTTGGTCCAGCTGTTTCCAGTCTTTCCCATATCACTTATGTGTATATGCTGAACTCTACACAGATAACTTTTTCAGCAAATAAAACAACTCTTCATTTCCTAGATAGCAACATGTATTGCTATATTTTTGTTTATATAGACCAGTAATCAGAACTGAAATCCCCATATAAAGTTCATATTCATGCAATGGCTTCAGCTTTTGTTTCACTACATTATGGCCAATAAAGGACTTCAATAACTCAGTAAACTATGTAAAAATGGATAGTTACAAAAATAGATACTTCATCTTACGACTGGTTGCCTAGCATCTGTGGTGTTTGCTTTACAATAGAATTAGCTTTAAAAGATCGGGACAGAAAATATGTGTCCATACCATATATATATATTTACTATAATATATATATGTATGTATGTATGTGTATATGCATGTATGTATGTATATATATACATATATTTCTTTTCACCAACACTTCAAAAGTTCTGAGCCCTTTATAGAATAACTATTCAGCACGTTTAGAGCATCTATACCTCCTAGTGGCCAGTCTACTTCAATAGTACATAATTATAAACAATGCCTAGTGCTTTTCCAATAGGGTTACCCTGTTTCCCCCAAAATAAGACATCCCCTGATAATAAGCCCAATCGGGCTTTTGAGCGCATGGCAATAAGGCCAAGCGCTTATTTCAGGGTTCAAAAAAAATATAAGATAGGGTCTTATTTTCGGGGAAACACAGTATTTATGCAAAAGTAAAGAACACTTTACATATATTTGCTATAACTTGAAAATATACTAGTATATTTCTAACCCATATGCTATATTATTGAAAAAGCAGAATTTTAACAACAATTTTACACCTGCTCATTTGGTCTTGCTGAAATCAATGGCAGTTTCTTCTGAGTAAACACACATAGGACTGGATATTAGAATAAAATTCTAGTCCTTTATATAAAAATCAACATATCTAATAAAGACATGCAGCTGTATCAGCAAAAAAGAGTAGGCAGGTATTCAATCATATATAAAAAGGTGACATAAAAATCTAATAATAGTACAGGTAGTTTTCGACTTAAGGACCACAATTGAGGCCCAAATTTCTGTTGCTAAGTGAAATATTTGTTAAGTGAATTTTGCCCCATTTTATGACCTTTCTTGCCACAGTTGTTAAGTGAGTCACTGCACTTTAGTAACAGAGTTGTTAAGTGAATCTGGTTTCCCCATTGACTCTGCTTGTCAGAAGCCTACTTATAACAATTTCCAGTGGAATCTCTGCTGCCCAAATGCCCCTAATTGAAGCCACAATTACCCTAGCCTAGGCTGCATGTTTTGCATTTCATTTCCCTGTGTCCTCACTATTTCCAATGATATTAACGGGATCACCAGTGAGGAGGATCCTCCATCTCAGTGCCATTTAGGTGGTCCAGAAACATAGACCGCTCTACAAAGACACTGAAGCCTTGTCTGGCCTTGTAAACAACAGGTTATCTTTGACAACCTTCTGAAAGGGCTTGCCAATTACCACCCCCCATCCCCTCAAAGCTCCGATGGAGCTGCTGGAGGTAGGTAATAGCAATAGCACTTAGATTTATATACTGCTTCCCAGCCCTCTCTAAGTGGTTTACACAGTCAGCATATTGCCTCCAACAATCTGGGTCCTCATTTTACTGACCTCGGAAGGATGGGTCAATCTTGACCCTGGTGAGATTCGAACCTTCAAATTGCAGGCAGCTGACAGTCTTTCTCACCATCTTTGTCAATTTTAAAGCCAATATTTGTTAATGTAATATTTTAATGCTTTATTCTGTTGCTTTTACTTATTGTAAGTCGCCTGGAATCGCCTCTTGGCGAGATGGGCGACTTATATATTTTCATAACAAATAAAATATTTTTTAAAAAACCCTATGTTTATTCAGTCAAACATGGCGAAGCACACCTCCACTTAAACCTGTCCTTTGAATAAGGTTTCCCCGGCTGAAAACGCCGCCGCGGCTATTCTGCCTAATGCCAGCACCGAGATTTCAATGCCCCAATAAGCCCATTCGCTTTTCAAACACCACACGACTCTCTAAAGATAAGTGCCGTACATTGCAATTTATCCTACAGAAGTAATCCGCGGCGGCTGAAAGCCTGGGCTCTTCTTCCTCCGGAACTCCCTTACTGAAATGCCAGTTGCCACAATACAGGCTACCCACCTATTCCAGAACTCACCGTTTTTATTTCTACGGTTACTCCCTCTCCAGATTGGCCGTTCGCGCGAATTCAAAAATTGCGGGCGCTCTGGGTTTCCCCGCAAATATTAGTGCGCAGGCGTTAAGGAAGGGCAATTGCGCTTGCGTGTCTGGGTGGGCTTTCAACGCAACGGCGCCTGCGCAAAGAAGTCGATCTTCCTCAGCAGTGAAAAGCGGTGGCGACGCTTAGTAGGTATTGTTTGGGCAGCCGCAAGTGGTGGTTGATGTGGCTGAGGTGCGTTAGCCGTTGTTGTTGGTTTTTTTTAAACCTAACACACAGAATCGCAAACCACTGTTAGGCCAATTTGAGTTTTGCGGGCTGCATGAACCCAGCTTGTATGGCGGTTCCATTATTGTGTCACGATACCCGACAAAATTAGGCTAATTCTAGAAATTATAGATACGTTGCTATGGGTTTGTGTGCCGTCTGAACACAGCTTGTGATTTGGTGTTCGTTTACTTTGACGTATTAATCGGTTCTCCTATCTCGGAGCTACCACCACTCTTCACCCGTCTTCCTCTTTTGCAAGGAAGTGTCTTTGGGCATATATACAATGTTTTGGAAATAATAGTAGACAAAACGACGCAGACCTATACCTTTTTTCTATCGGGCACTGGGAGGTCTGAATCCAAGTCTCTTAAGTGCCAAATCTCATTTGCCTTGTAAAATGTGAGGTACAGTTTACACTCAAGATTCACACATTTTACTTTTTTTTTTTTTTTTGATGTTTGATCAAAAGTTTGATGCCTGTTTTTTAAAGGCATGATGAGTTTATATCGCTGTTTTATTACTAACTTAGAATATATATTGCTCTCACCCAGCGACCATAACAGCTATTTTACCCTGTGGTATTTTTACTGAGGTCACTTGTTAAGGTGAACAGTTTGAAATGAAAGCAGGCACTGTTTTTCTTTCTTTGTTCCCTCCCTATTCTGATAGGTGGAGATATCAAGTAGCTCGCTTAATAGCTCTAACAATCCTGGTTCTTCCTGGTCCTTTTGTGCTCCCAATCTGTTAAGATTATTTGTAGGCATGCTACAACTGAATTGCATTTAGGTTCTGAGTTGTCAACTTGCAAAAACAGTTAAGAGACAGTCTGTGCAAAACAAATGTAAACGTTGTTTTGAAATTAGAATCTCAGAAGTCTGCAAATCACAACTTGCTCTTCTTCCCATTAAACAAAACGGATACATCTAGTTTTATTTGGGAGTATATAAAAGGAAGATCTACCTCTTTGGGCTTCTTAAAAATAACTAATTGCTTCATTAATTTTATCCAGCTCTTGGAACAGGCACATCTTCACAACTATTTTAGTAGAAAATGTTACGGGTCAAGAATGGACTTCTGCATCATTGGCCCTTACGTTGTAGGAGAGAAGCAAGTCTGTCTCCCCTCCGACCAAGTTGGCGTTTGCTGCATCAGCATATACTCCATCCTGAATGGGCTGCAATGGCTAAAAAGCAACTAAAGGGCAAAAGCCCTGAAGAGTTGATATGGCACACTCCAGAGGGAATTGCTATCAAACCACTGTATTCTACACGTGACACAGCAAGCTTTCCTGAAGAATTACCTGGAGTAAAGCCCTTCACGAGAGGTCCTTATCCTACCATGTATACATATAGGCCTTGGACCATTCGTCAATATGCTGGCTTCAGTACTGTGGAGGAAAGCAACAAGTTTTATAAAGATAACATCAAGGGTGAGATGTGTTCCTTAAGGTTTGAGCATTAAGGACAATGCTATGATTGTAATCAGATATTTTTAATATATTTTTATACCTGTAAATCAGTTTTGACTTCTAGATGAATCCCTGCAGTTTTCATGGCCACCTTTTTAGAAGTGGGTTTCTGTTCCTTTTTTCTAGAGCTGAAAGTAGCTGGCCCAAAGTCACCTTCATGCCTAAGCAGGACTAAAAGTGATGGTCTCCCAGTTGCTAGCCAGATGCCTTTAAATCAGATTGGTTCTCAGTTGTAACTGTATTTACTTATATTAATTTATTTACATATATTTATATGTAATTATCAGAAATAAGTTGTTTAGGAATTAATAGCACCCTGTTCGGATGATCAGCAGGGGTGTCAAACTCAAGGCTCAGAGGCCGGATCTGGCCCATGGGAAGAGCGAAGGACTACCCCGTGGTCCCTCTGCCAGCAAAAACGGAGCTCAGGAGGGCTGCATGCGGTCCTCCTGAGCTCTATTTTCGCTGGCAGAGGGTTGCAGGAGGCTGTCCCAGCCAAAAACTGAGCTCGGGAGCCTGTTTTCTCTGGCAGAGCACTCAGGCCACCACAGGTGCCCCAGACACAAGTGACGCCAAGCTGGCCATGCCCACCCTGGCCACACCCACTCTGCCTCCCCGAGGTCAAACACAACCCTGATGCGGCCCTCAATGAAATCAAGTTTGACACCCCTGATATACAGCGTTCAGTTTACATTTTATGTTTTTGTAATTCCTCCTCAGAAGAGATGTAATTTATTTCATTAGAAAGACTGAGAAGTGTTGAATATTTTCTCTGCTCAATAATAAATTGCTCAACTGCAGTCCTGAAAATACATAATATGAAATCTATTTAAATATTTAGAATGGATTTATTTCATTAATAAAATTGCTTACAAGAATAGAATCAGGAAGAGCAGTTCTGCTACAACAAATAGCCCTCTGTGCTTACTCAGAATAACTGAGCACTGGAGGATTGGGGATCCTTTGATGAAAATTGAGGGACTGCAGGATGAAAGAAAGCCTTGTGTAATGAACACTTGCTTGTGCAACACTGAATTAACACTGAGGACCCAGTTTGTAGGGGCAATAAACTGACTTTGTATAAATATACAAAAGTATGAAGGCTATTGCTTAACGCATTGTAAGCCGCCCTGAGTCTCCGGAGAAGGGCGGCATATAAATTAAAGCAAAAAAAAAAAAAAGTTTTAATGTGATTCTTTTGGTCTGTATTGTTTTGAACAACTAATACCCCTTTTCAGTCAAATTCCATCTAACAAAGATGAAGATACAATTGTATACATCATATTTTATATTTTTACTAAATTATTAATTTCATTTTCAAGCTGGTCAACAGGGTTTATCCGTCGCATTTGATTTAGCAACTCATCGTGGTTATGACTCGGATAATCCTCGAGTTCGGGGTGATGTTGGAATGGCTGGAGTTGCCATTGACACAGTAGAAGATACTAAAATTCTTTTTGATGGAATTCCCTTGGAGAAAATGTCTGTTTCAATGACAATGAATGGGGCAGTAATTCCTATCCTAGCCACGTTCATTGTTACTGGGGAAGAACAAGGAGTACCTCAGTCCAAGCTGACAGGGACAATACAAAATGATATATTGAAGGAATTCATGGTTCGAAATACATACATTTTCCCACCAGAACCATCAATGCAAATAATTGCTGACATCTTCCAATATACATCAAAGGTATTGTTTAGTTTTGTTTCCTTTAATTACCACATGGTTATCATGTCTATAAGGATCAGTGTTCGTTACAGAACAAATTTATACATATTTTCTTACAGCACATGCCAAAATTTAATTCTATTTCTATCAGTGGATACCATATGCAAGAGGCTGGAGCTGATGCCATTTTGGAGTTAGCATATACAATAGCTGATGGCTTGGAGTACTGCAGAACTGGACTTAAAGCTGGTCTCACCATTGATGAATTTGCACCAAGGTACATGAATTCAGGTTTTTGGGGGGGCGGGGGGCAGGGAGGTGGCTTCAAATCACATATTGTGAATTGAACTGTTATATTCCATAGTTTTACTATGGCTTACTATTATAGTTGTGGGATTTATAAATTAGATGAATTAGGTAAGTGAACAAGAATGTTTTTGAATCATTCTTTTTTAGTACGGTATTAATATAGTCCAGTCAGTTCTTGAAGGTAGAGATAAAAGTTCTAACAGTTGCATTCAATTTAATTCTAGTTATCATCTTGATTTGTACCCATTTAGAACAATAGAATAGAATAGAATAATAGAATAGAATAGAATAGAATAGAATAGAATAGAATAGAATAGAATAGAATAGAATAGAATAGAATAGAATAGAATTATTTATTGACCAAGTGTGATTGGATACACAAGGAATTTGTCTTTGGTGCATGTGCTCCCAGTGTACATAAAAAGACAAGATACATTTGTCAAGAATCATAAGGTACAACACTTAATGATAGTCATAGGGTACAAATAAGCAATCAGGAAACAATATCAATATAAATCGTAATGATATAACAGAATATTTATTCATCTAGTGGGGGGAGATAAACAAGAAAGGAACCTTTTTTCTGTTTTTATTTATTTATTGGTTCGATTTATATGCCGCCCTTCTCCAGAAACTCAGGGCGGCTTACAATGCATTATGCAATAGCCTTCATACTTTTATATATACCTGCTTAGTAGGGCTTTTGCCCCCTCCCCCCTAAGCAGTGTTCTTTTTTTATACAAAGTCAACTTATTGCCCCCACAATCCGGGTCCTCATTTTATCTACCTCGGAAGGATGGAAGGCTGAGTCAACCTTGAGCCTGGTGAGATTTGAACTCGCAGTAATTGCAGGCAGCTGGCAGCTAAGTGCTACTTAACAGCACTTTAGTCCGCTGCTCCACCAAGGCTCCTTGGTTTTTGCTTATTAAAATAAAATAAAAATAAAATAGATACTATTTTCTATTCTATTAGGAATGCTGTAGATTGGGGGGAGGGGGTTGTTTTTTTATTTGGCATTTTACTAAAATACTTCCTATCAGTATTCCCAGTGCATGAATAGCCCAATAAGATATCATTATTAACTTTAAAAAATGATATATATTTGTTCGTGGTTTTGCAGGTGAGAGAGTTTGGAATACTATACTACTAATTTAAATTAAAACATTCCTCAAACCTCTGCTTTCACTATGAGCTACATATAATTTCCATCCTTCTGAAAATATAGTATTTGTTGTTCTTACATAGAAAAAGCCAGGTTTATAGGCTATGATTCAGTGATCTTTTAGTAAATTGCCTGTAGTTTTACTAGCCTAAAGAAAATGAGGATTAAAAAAAAATTAAATTGAACTATGTTGTTTATTTAAAATATAGGTTTTATGTTATCATTTATTGCTTATTCTAGATATGATCCTAAGTTATTTTATTGCAGGCTTTCTTTCTTCTGGGGAATTGGTATGAACTTCTATATGGAAATAGCTAAATTAAGAGCTGGAAGACGGCTTTGGGCTCACTTAATAGAGAAAATGTTTCAACCCAAGGACACCAAATCACTTCTCCTTCGAGCTCATTGTCAGACTTCAGGATGGTCACTAACTGAGCAGGTACAAATCAGAATATCAGTTATGATGACATGCAAATTTTAAAGAAGTAAATATAGTATATAGTCAACATGTTGCTTTCCTGAAGGTTCTTTTCTTTAGAACTTAAGTAGAGGTACATCCAATTCATACCCCCAACTACCAGTGCTGAATTTGAGGGAAGATTCTGGGATCATCTGAGGACAGGAGGAGATGGGGAAGTTAGTTTCCTGGAATCTGCAGCATAATGGCTGGAGTAAGAAAAAATGAAAACATTACTCTCCACAAGCATTTTAATTGTTTCATCAATCATTAAAGCTTTGCCCAGATTTTCTTGCAACCTAATATCCTGTGTTTGTGGATGTGTTACATAGTAATACATATTTTTATTTGATTAAAATTTTATGAATTACGAAAGAGAACTTGGGCACTCAGGAGAACTGAGTAGAACTGTTCAGAGTATAAAAAAGTAGTGTTTCACATTAGTGAGAGAAGCTTCTGTCCTTAAAACCTTAAAGCAACTACAATCTTTGGGTCATTGATTTGAAGGCTGTCAGTTGCTTCTCTGACAGTCTTAGCATTAGTACTGTTGTACATACAAACAGATTCACAGACAACTAGAGTCAATTTTGAAGCATCTGCTTGAAGTTTAGTAGATATGTTCTAAGCCAGCCAAGTAGCAATTTAGGTAAGAATTCCTAGGAGTGTTCTTGACACATCTGAAAGACTTCATGTTAGGGAAAGCTAGTTTAAGATATCTTATAAAAATAGTTTCCCTTACAATGTATTTGATCTTCTAATTCTCCACCCTCCATTCCATCACTGGGAGCATCCCAACTCAATGTAAGTAACTCAGTTTCATCTGGTTATGATAGGTTCAACCTGCAGAAGTAATATTTATATTACCATAGTATATCTTTTAATCTGATTTTGTTAAAGTTTCCAGGACATAACTGATGTCAAAGTCTAATTCAATAATATTACTCAGAACTGTGCTCAGAAGACAATATGCAACAAAAGACAACTCTGCATCTGTTTCATTTTTTTAAAGTAAAGTTATGATTTTTGTAATAGGATCCTTACAATAACATTATCCGCACCACAGTTGAAGCAATGGCAGCTGTGTTTGGTGGTACCCAGTCTTTGCATACAAATTCATTTGATGAAGCTTTAGGACTGCCAACTGTGAAAAGTGCACGAATTGCAAGGAATACACAGATAATAATACAAGAAGAATCTGGCATACCTAAAGTTGCTGATCCGTGGGGTGGTTCATTTCTAATGGAATCTCTTACCAATGATGTATATGAAGCCGCTTTAAAGGTCAGTTTGTTTATTATAGAGAATGGGGAATAAGAAGGTGCTTGTAATCTTTTATATGAGCTCAGAAACAAATACTAGCTTGCTTGTTTATATTGATATATTTCCTCTTTAACAGCTCTGTAGATTCCTATTTATCCAACAAAATACACACACACCCGCTGCCCAACTTCTGATTAGCTAGCAATAAATTTTACTTTTTCATTGATGAGTTGATGGCTTTGTACAAAGCCACGCAGTTTTCTTGGAAATATTTTCAGAAGTGGTTTGCCATTTTCTTCCTAGGACTGAAAAGGAGTGCAACTGGGCTCAAGTCACTCCAACTGGCTTTAGGCCCAATAGAAGACAGGTTTGTGGATTAAGAGAGAAACCAGTTAAGTCTAAATTAAGAACATAAACTTTATAATAAGGAATATTCAATATGTTGAATTTGCGGGTTAGGTGTGTGCCATTTGTAGAAGAACTTTTAAATTCTTTCATTTTGAGCTAAATTTAAACTATCATAGGACATCAATTCTTTTAAGAATTAGGAAATGTATTTTCTTATATTAACTACTTGTTTATAAAGAGGGTTCTTATTTATTCCTTTTGAGTAATTAATTTTTCTGTACTAGGGAGCCTAAATATTTTATTAAATAAATATTATATTAGACAATAAGCATTATAGTTATTAACAACTTTTCTTTGTTAGCTCATCAATGAGATTGAGGAGATGGGTGGAATGGCCAAAGCTGTAGCTGAAGGAATACCAAAACTTCACATTGAAGAATGTGCTGCTCGAAGACAAGCCAGGATTGATTCTGGTAAGGAAATCAGAATTATTTATTCTTCAACCGTGTAAGCATTTAGAAGGTCTTCTCTTATCTCACTGAAGTTAATATATGTGCATGAATAATAAGAATTTGATTTCAACTTTCTGTATTTTTTTAAATTCTGTTCCAAAATAAATTTAAAACAATTAAGAAGCTTTGGCTTTTAGCAACATTGCCAGTAAAAGAAGAGCATTGGAACATTGTATTGTTTAGCATGAAGACTGCTGTTAGTTTTGCATGACCAAGGAGACTATTCATGTTTCTCAAGCAGTCTTCTATATTGCATAACTTTTAAATAGAGGAATAAAAAGACTGCTGTCTCCCACTCCCATCCTCAAATCTCTTGGACAGACCAAAGCCTTTAAGTTCACTTAAGTAATTATTTGGATCCTTTCCTGCTCAACAGTTTATTAAGACAAAACATATAATTGCTCTACAAGACTGAAATATGTTTGAAGTTATTGTGGCTTGTGGCTTAGACAACTATATTATTATTTTGTTCTGTACATTACAGTCACAAATCCCATTCTTCTAACTTTTCCATTATATATATATGATACATAATCCAAATTGCAATGCTTGAAAATGATCCTATACTATGCTAACTACACTTACCATATGTGCACAAACATTCTTTGAAGTAGAATAGTTACAGGAATTCAGCAGTTAGTCTGAAATACATATGTCTGTAGAACCTTATGGAATATATGTATTGTTATTATATGGTGTACTCAGAAGAGTCAAGAGGGCCATTTACAGAATCATTCTGGAAATCTGATTTTTCTTCTACACTATAATCATAGTTTGTCCCAAATTAAGAAAAATCTTGTACAGGTAGTCGTGGACTTATGACTACAGTTGAGCCCAAACTTTCTGTTGCTAAGTGAGATAGTTAAGTGAATTTTGCCCCATTTTATGACTTTTCTTCCAATACTTGTTAAGTGAATCACTGCAGTTGTTCAGTTAGTAAAACAGTTGTTAAATTAATCTGGCTTCCCCAGATGCTTGTCAGAAGGTTGCAAAAGGTGATTATGTGACCCCGAGACACTGTCATAAATACATGCCAGTTGCCAAATGTCTGAATTTTGATCACATAACTATGGGGATGCTGCAACAGTCATAAGTATGAAAAACAATCATAAGTCACTTTTTTTCAGCGCCGTTGTAACTTTAAACGGTCATTAAATGAATGGTTATAAGTCGAAAATATCTGTAATTGTTAAATTTCTTCCCACTCATTTTTTTCATTATAAACTTATAAATTCAACTTCAGAGTAAAGCAAGTTCTTAAAAATAAAGACTGAAATCCAAAACCAAAAAAGTAATGAATTCATGAATTGCATTAATAAATTATTAAGTTGCAGATATATTTTTTATTATATAAAGAAAAAAGTGCAAAATAATGTTGCTTTAGTACATAAAAGAAATGATAATTCAGCTTATAATATTGTATACATACTGGAGAAAAAAGGAGTAATATATATTGATCTAGGTTATAAAAAACAGAGGAACTCTTACTTTACCATATCAGACATTTTCTGCATTGAGCAAAACTATTACAGCTGATTTCTATTTTTTCTAAACATCTATTCAATATATCAGATGGCAATTTTTTTTATAAAACCAGATTGTGCAAGATTGATGATCAAAGGTAACATCATCTGCAGTTTATATGCTCGGGATGCAGTCAATACTTTTGCATCAGCTTTTTTACTTGCACAACGAATCGAATCTCTTCCAGTCTTCAAAATCACATTTTTATGTGAGAACAGCTTCAGTGAGAAGAGCCAGAAAATCCTTATTTAAAAGGCATCATTATAAACTTTTAATAGATTAGTGCAAAAAGCTAAATATGCATCTTGTATGGGAGCTCATGTTTTAGAGATTTAATGGTTTCTATTATTTATTGATGGTAATTAAATTACTCTTTTAAGATTTGTAATTAATTTCAAAAGGAAAATTCATAAAATTGCAATAGAATGTCTCCTTAACTACATACTCAGTATAGTTTCAGTTTAACAAATCAAATTATTATGCATTGAAAGATTAATGGAGCAAAGCGAAGAGTCATGAATAGGGATTGCTTTGGCTGCAAAAAACATTCTTAGGTGCTGCTGTTAGAGAATGCATGAACTGAGTAGTGACTGATCAGGGCCTTATTTCTAATTAACCATTGTAGTGCAACCTTCAATTATCATTAAATGTTACATGTTTTATATTGAAAAATGAAATATCACTTGGCATAAGTATTCAGACCCTTTGCAACAACAATTGAAAATTAGCTGAGGTGTCTCCCATTTCTCTCGATAGTTGCTGACATGTTTCTACACCTTGCTTGGAGTCCACCTGTGGTAAATTAAATTGATTGGACATGATTTGGAAAGGCACACACCTCTCTATAGAAGGCCTCACAGCTGACAATGCATACTGTACCAGACCAAAAACAATGAGGTCAAAGGAATTGCCTGTAGAGCTCAGAGGCAAGATTATTGCAAGCACGGATCTGGGGAGGGCTACAATAAAATTTATGCAGTACTAAAAGTTCCTAAGAACCCAGTGGCCTCCATAATTCTTATATATAAGAAGTTTGGCACAACCAGGACTCTTCTAAGAGCTGATTGCTTGTCAAACTGAGCAATTGTGGGAGAAGAACCTTAATAAGAGAAGTGACCAAGAACCCGATGGTCACTCTGACTGAGCTCCAGAGAGCCTGTGTGGAGATGGGACAGAATTCCAGAAGGACAACCATCACTAAAGCCCTCCACTGATATGGACTTTATGACAGAGTGGCTAGGCGGAAGCCCCTCCTTAGTGTAAAACACATGAAAGCCAGATTGGAGTTTGCAAAAAAGTGCCTGAAGGACTCTCAGACTGTGAGGAAAAATATTCTCTGGTCTGATGATACCAAGATTGACCTGTTTGGCCTCAATTCTAAATGTTATGTCTGGAAGAAACCAGGCACTGCTCGTCACCTGCCCAATATCTTCCCAAGAGTGAAGCATGGTAGTGGTAGCATTGTGCTATGGAGGTGTTTTTCAGCAGCAGGGACTGGGAGACTGGTCAGGGTTGAGGAAAAGCTGAATGAAGCAAAGTACAGAGATATCCTCAAAGAAAACCTG